GTAGAGTAATGTTGCATCGCAAAATCTCTTCCAAAATTCAAACAAGGGTTCCCTTGAGAGGCCCAACAAAGTTTTAGGGGAATACGTGCTCCCCCAGCCCTCCCCCTTTTACCAATGCCATTGAGAATGAGCAGAGTATCTTTGTTTTTTTTAAAATTGTATTTGTATTGTTCAAAGGCGAGATGTGATGGGGATAAAAATAATATACATTTATATCTTTCTCAGATAATTACAATGCTGTCATTTTATCGGAACATTATTCAAATATTGCAATGTCAAATCTAGAAAACATAAAGATTGCAAAGAATGCTGCATCTTTTGAACAATATTTTTTGTAGAATTACAGATAAAAAACAAGCTATATCCACGAAAAAAATGTGTGAAAAAGACAAAATAATTTCCTGTTGCTTGGAATTCACAAGTAAAGAGCAGATAATATTGACCTGATCAAACTGGCTGGAAAATTTGCTGCAACAGTCCATTGGCTATACCACACAAAAAACGCACATAGGCAAAAAGTACTATGTTAGTTGCAACAAAGATTATGCAATCGATTTTCTCAAATTGTGCATGAAATATGCCAACCGGTGATTGAGTTACATGTATTTTTATTTGTGAGTATACTTATTTATGCATGACATTTCTATTTTAATTTTAATTTGAGTTTGGTAATTTTCTATTTTTTATAAGAATCACATCAGACAGGCGTAAGAACTCGGAAACGGTTTATCAGAATTCTAAAACACTAAATTTTTGAAGAGCATAAAGCTATAAACACAAATTACAGTTGGACTATCTTTGCAGCTAAGGGCAATCAAACCGTCTCTTTACATCTTTCACGTGCCTTTTCTCAAACAAAAGTGCTCTTCGGAGCTGGTGCCCCAAATCGTTAGATTGTTCTTACGTCACTGGTTACTAGATAAACAGAAACCGATTGCAAAAGCCATTTCCTTTTACAACAGGCCAACAACTGGCACATCTGACAAAGTACTTCCAGATTGCTAAGAACAACATTAATATAAATTTGTCACTGAATGAAATGTCACTGGAATTATTATTGATAAGCATAAAATAGCAGCAGTGTATGAAATTTTCGATTTCTTGCTTTATAGATCTTACAAAAGACTTGCTTCCTGCAATCAATACGTTTGCCAAACGGAGAATAATTTATTCTGGCTTTGTGCAGCGCAGCTTAATTAACTATATCAATAAAAACTGTCAAATCGACTTAATGTAGCAATATTCCAATGATTGGCATTATTATCCACATGTACAGGTCATGAGTTAAAACAACGCGTCGCTATTGGTTCTTTAATTGGTTATATATGAGCATCTAGCTCACATTCAGCGCAAAAGGTAAGTTTTTTTGCCTCGCGTGGCCAAAAATATCAAACATGTTTGATTTGCGAAAAAAGGTTTCATGAGCCTTAAAACTCCGTCAAATTCCTCCGCACACAGCGAGCTATCGCCTGAGATAACGGGCACGAGTAACTCTGAGCTCAGCTGATAGCTCTCATGTGCTGCAGGCTTTAGGTAAGTGGTGACCTTTAACACATGATCCAAAATGATAATAGATCAAAACAAACAAAAAAGCAGCAATAAAGATTTTAAAATCAAATCCTGAAGTTCCAACATTTCTTAGCCATTTTACTTCTAAATATGTATCAATCAACCGAGAAATAATGGATAAATGGAATGATCTATTCTATAAATAGGTTGGATTTTTTCTTTATGATGTCGAGCTGTGCAAAAATCGTCTCCCAGTGGTAAATTACCAGCAAGATTGTTATAAATTAAACTATCAATAATGTTGTTTCTTAATTGACTTTCTAATGATAATACAGCTGCTTTATTTTTTCATTTCACTCCACTAAACCTATATGGTGTGAAGATATCTTGAGCCATTACAAATAACTGCAGGGCAACCGGACAAGAAGAACCAATGCACAAGTGATACTCTCGTTAAAAAGATTTTTAATTTTTTCGGTTTGAATAGCAACTATAGGAAATTGAACAAAGGTTGAGCCGTCAGTGGCGTGTTGGGAACAATTTCTATGAGGGGACCAAAGGCCTGAGCAGAGAAAAATTTTTAAATTAAGAAGCTCTAAAATGTAACATCCTTGATTTGAATAGTGAAATAATTCTAACAGTAGAATTTTAAAGTCTAATGCGTTTTTCCTGCGCAAATTCAAAATTTGACGCTCTTTAGCCAGTTTTGTGCCCCTAAAAATCAACAGCTGAAGGGAGGCTTGGACGTAGTGCAAAAAATTGCGATTCTTTACGCTCCCATCCACTAAATTACCCTGAATCGCAGTCAAAACAATTTCAACATATAGTTTTGTTATTACAAAACAGCATCAGAGAAAAAAATCAAGAGAAGAAAAAGGATGCAATAATCCTATGGAATTTTATCATGTCACTAATCACTCATAATACACTCGTGTGTCACTCAGGTGTCATCAGTCACTCGATCAGTCATATGACATTGATTAAAAGTGTGTTCTCTGTTCATTTATGGGAAGAAAAAACAATGCCGAAGAAAAACGCGAACAATAGTTCAATGTCACCCAGCAAAATCAACAAAGAAAATGTAATATTTTATATTTACCATTTTTTTGAAAGATGTGCCGCATTGTCTCAACTCTCAAATGGTGAGTTGTTGGCGCTGAACTTTGCGAGAACAAACTTCTTTTTTCATGGGAGTTCCCACATGCGAAGTCTTTAGTACTGCAAACTATCGTTGAAATGTATTTAATGAGAATAATACATGAATATATGACCTGGTCTTTCCACAAGTAAAATCTGTCGTCAACGGTTAATCAACAAATTGAAAAACGAAGCTTTTTTACGTTTTTCTCCAACTATATAGATGATTAATTGAAATATAGCGACGAATATGTTACTACACGATTGCAGAAAACTTTAAAAAGGTTCACATTCGCGATAAAAAACATGGTTCGGCTTAGGCACACTACGTACATTTCAAAGAAATAAGTTATATATAAGAAATATCAAAACAATTAAAATCGTCAAATCATAGATATTGAACAGTAGTTTTTTGAACATATTTAACGCATGAATTTATAGTTGATGCTTTTTTTCCCCAATTATACTGAGCACTTTGTGAGCTCAATTTCTGTAGATGTTCCCATGCAATTATACAAGAAACAGTGTGAAATAATTTAATAAAGCCGATCTCTTACAGCACTCCATGCACAACGGTTGAAAATCTGAGACCTATAGGCCTTATTAGAGTGTTATCTTAAGAACGAGAGTCTTGTTTTTGTCAATTGGATTAATGAAGACATACATGATAAAATCTCGGGTTCACATTACTGGAGTATTAACATAAGTGGTATAAAGCAATTGATAAACCATTTTTGAAGAAATAAAACTGTCATCCCACCACTGGAAATATAAGTTCATACTTCGGTCAGCAGATCTATTCTTGAGTACAGTGCCTGCATTTGGCATGGTGACAGAATAAGAATATACAAAAGAGTCACTCGTGTCGGAAACTTTGATGTTTTTGTCCTCACGCATGTCGTGCTGCGCATGGTGGCCGCCATTATTCCAGCTAGATGATGAGGGTTTTTGACTTTTTCCCAACCTTTAAAATGATCCGAAGTCATTTCTTGAGTTAAAATATACTTGAATTCATTATTAAGTATTGATGTCATGTAATTTTAATGGTTGGAAACAAGTAAGAAATCCTAATCATGTGGCTGGAATATTGGGCGACATGAGGACACGTTGTACAACTGAGTGACCCTGCTGTATAATCATTATTCTGTGGCATGGTAATTCAGCAAATGAAGAGTCACATGATATTGAGAGCGTACAAAAACGAGCCCTTCGAATAACCTTTGCAAAGTTATAATCTGAAGAAGTTGTAACCTTAGAACTTTAGATTATTGTAGGAAAGATTTGTGCAGTAATCTTATTAATAGGGAGCTTTAGCAAATACTACGAGTACGACTACGAGTACGATTTACGTCATTTTGGCGCGAAAACATTGTTGCGACAAGAAAAACACGTAACCGTCATCAATCTGAGTACGATGTTTAGTAAAAAATTCGTAGTCACGACTACGATGTCTTTTTAAGCAAAGAAAGTAGGTATATTTCTTCATTCTGTAAGAAATTAGTTTACAGTACTATTTTCGAGCATCCAGGCTTTACTTTAGAACCTTTTTTGAGCGCATATGTTTTGCACAAGCAATTGTTTTGTTGTTTACAGCTAAAACTAAATTTTGACGAAGCGACAACGACAACAAACTTCCTCGTGCCATTTCCTTACACGGTCAAACTTCGTACTCGTTGTCGTAGTCGTACTTATGCTAGAGCTCCCTAATTTCTTACTTGACCCTGGTCATCAATTATATTCATTACCCCCACATAGAAAAGGAGAGATAAGACAATGAAAAACAAGATTAAGTGTTGATCTTGTATATAATTCAACTTTTATGCAAGACATTATAATTTAGCAATATGTATTATATATTATTACGAAATGTAATAATTTTGAATAAGAATAGTAATAAATTTGTTCGTACTTTGTTTGTTAAACTTATACTCAACCCGTCAAACTTCGACTTGAAATATTTAGAGATTTTTTGAAAAGTATAGACATGAATTCAACAGTAAAAAGTTCTAAAAAGTCCCTTCATAGTTGTTAATCCGTCAAGTTGTTAATTAGTTAGTCCCATCAGTGAACTAATCCGGTAAGTCGATGAACAAACCATCGTTTTAATCGGTATACAGATTTCATCCGCCATAAATAATTATAGTGAGAAAAATGACCCAACCAACAGCACACTAATAGTGGCGTTAGACACACGTCCCTTCTCTCGCAAATTTAAAATTACGGACTTTATATAAAGTGCATTTCTTGTGATTTGAAGGGAAAGCTAACGTTATCCAACAATGTAAAAAAATGCTATCAGCAGCATTTGCACTTTCCCAATGATTGATTTCTAATATAAAACGAGATAATGACAGTTTTCCGCTAAAACAATATATATTTCAATTTCCATGGAATGTGGGATTAGCCATAGCATATATCTATACAATATATTTACAAAATATAAATCAAACCAATTAAAATTTTCAATAGAAAATAATTGCTAATATTACCTATTTCACTCTGAGTCCCCATTCAAAGTCGCTCAAATATCCTACACATACGGGTTTTTTTTCATAAATAGAACTATCTAATGCATTTACTATAAATAAAACAATTACTGACACAGAAAATTGCAACGAAACACAACGGTCTGGAAGGGGTATGATTGATTCCTTTTGCTCATAGAATGTTGTTTCAAAATGATGCCAAAAATTGTTAAATCGTGCCCCTCGCAGACAAAAACATCATTTGAAGGTGCCAATACACAAACAACAATGAAAACAGCCGGTTATCTATCTAACAAGGAATGGTCGTTCCAAATTGTCAGGCTGTTTAACTGAACTCCTTCCACTTCTCGACGTCATATGAATATGAAGACCAGCCTTTCATCATCGCATATCGCGCTGTCCGTTGGGAAACTGGATAATTACTTCAGCCACATAACAAACACAAACACACTTTTGACAAATACTAACACCTTCATAAATTTATAACCGAACTACAAACTTAACAGAGTACAGTCCCTGTCTGTTTCCGATGGAGGATACTCGATATCATTACTGTCAATTCGTTCAATATGTCTATGTAATGAATAAGGCGAATTCTTTCTCGCTCGTTTGTGCGGCATCGACTTCATAATGGGTTGGAAGGTGTGCCTCTGAATCTGGAGTTTTTGAAATTCGGAAGAAAGAGGAATAGATTCCGCATGATCCGTTTCATTAACGTTCTGTTGAACAGTGGTTTGATAGTGTTTTTTAAGCTCTTCGCCCATTTCAACGTATTTTTCTTTGTACACCGTGTGCATGCGCTGTTGTTCGAATAACTGCGCATGTGTAAGTGAAGGTGGGTGCAGCTCCTGTAGTTTTTGATGTTCTTCCTGTATCAACCGTAACGGGGACGATGAACAGTACGTTCGAGTCTGATGAAAGTCCACAAAGTGAGAGGTGTTTCCTTCGGAAAAGCGTCGAGATACAGTGGAAACCGCCGAATTCCCTTCCACCAATTCACCAATATTTGACGAATGAAAACCGCTATCCGCCGATGGAAAGTCGACACGATCCGATGGAGACACGATTATGGATGGGTTTGGGACAATCTCATACATAGTGCTATTCGAGTTTGATATACCGCCAGCAAGCAGCGGGTGATCCGACGGGACACTTATCGTACCTTGAGGAGGAACGCCTACTGTATGCCGTCTCCTTCGTTCTGCAGGCAAAGGCGGAGGGGCATACGGCAAAGTATTAAACTGCAAGTTGTTCTTCCCTAGTTCGACATTTTCCTGAATAGTCTGTGGTACAGCATGCGTAATCCGACGTAGTGGCTGAGTTGGAAGTGCACGACTATTAATGTTCCTCAGCTGCCGACAAAGTCCAGGAATCTCATGGCCTATATCAGTAGGTGTGGGCACTCTTTCCTCCAGCCTTGCAATGTCTATAGGGTTAACCGGTACTGATATTCTTGGTCGTCTTGTAACTGACACAGAGTGCGGCATGGCGGGCGCAGGCGAGCATGTAACAGTCGAGCGTACAATGGCCGTATGTGCAAGACTGCTGGGGCGGCGTATTTGAGTTTGCACCGACTCTTGTTTCTCTGGACCATTCGAGCGTTGTTGCTTAAGTTTGTCCACGATAAGGTAATAAATAGCAGCGTGATGATCGTACATTCGGTGGTTGATTGACTAAGAAATTTATAAATGGAGTGATGATATTTAATTTTTCATTGAAATGACTGATGTCATCAAGACGACATGCTAACTATGCAGAACTTACAACATCGTCCTACCCATTCACATAGCCAAAAACAAAACTCGGTTCCCATTTACAGTAGCAACATGCACAAGTAAATCATGGGATGTATGAAATAAATGGTTTACCTTCTTGGTCGTTGGAATATCAATGCCCAGACCTTCCATTAACCTAAGCGCGCGCTCGTTATACACGCGTTCGTCATCTTCTAAGTCTTCAGGCTCGCTGTCTGACTCGCTGAGTATATCACAGTTCATATTAAGCGTAACTTGTACAGATGGTTCCGTTCTTAGCCACTTGTGATTGCGAATTTCATCTACTGTAAACCTCTGCTTCGGGTCTTGAACAAGCATATGCTTCAAAAGATCTTCGCATTCTAAAAGACATTGGCAAAATAAAAATAAAGCCGAGCCGCTCACACCCAAAAATTTCGAGCATCAATCCATGAAAAAATTCCACGCACAGGTCAGAGGTATGTTCTCAAAACGAGTCAGTTGTTTACTTGTTTTATGTAACCCTACACAAACTGTATGTCCACACTTTTTCATATTACCGATGGAGGTATTACTTCCTAGTTGATAAAATGTTTAATGAATATAATAGAAAAAAGGAGTTTTAACGACAAAGCAATGGTTTCTTCGAATGGTTTTCACGAATTATTGCACGATAGCAATATATTACTTCATGGTTGCGAAATGTCACAACAAAATTCACTGCACTGCAATCTAACGTTTGGCACTATAATGTCAACCATGTTTCAGTAAAGGTGCCGATCATCAGTGAAACGATCATAGAAAGAATATGATTGGCTAAAGGAGTTCGTGGCAATCACGAGCGATTTGTGCTATCTCGCGAGTGGACATGACAGGAAAATCCAAGCGGATTGTAAACATTATTTAATCGAAGAACTCACCGTGTGACATGAAATATGGCACTCTAAAGTTTCCCTCGAGCACTCGATCGCGCAGATCTTGAAGATTTTTTCCGTCAAAAGGTAATGTTCCACACACCAAGACATACAACACAACACCAAGACTCTAAAAAATATCACAACTGACTATCAAGGTACAGTTCGGTGAGGTAAATGTAACTTTAATTTCTTGTACAGAACAAGTTGAAGTATTATGTAAGAGCAGACACAAAAGAAAGTTCTTTATTAGTTCAAAGTTCAAACATCACATGCCATTCAATTCAAGAAGCGACCAAATTTTCCTTTTTCCTTAGTAAAAGTATACTGCCCCAAAACAAACGGAATTCACCAGGGGTGATGCTACACTTATTAAATGTCATATCATTCTACAGTAACCATAACTATCCCTAAGTAGCAAGAAATTATGTGTTGAGGGATTGTACAGGAAAAAGTTAGGAGATTAAACAAAGAGCCTTTGAAATTTAATGTGAAAACAGGAACATCTTTCAATACTAATTAATATCACACCCACACACATTAAGCCCATCCTTTTTGTTTTATTTTTAATATGTTTCAAGTTTCAAATCATTTAATACCTCAGAAACATAAATTTTTTATACAAATCATAAGCAATAGCCAACAACATATGTGACTGTGTCTGTCTGATAGATGGCAAAAAATAGACTGCTTAAACTTTGTAAACAACACTTACCCATATATCTAGCTGAGGTCCATCATAAACTTTACCAGAAAAAACTTCAGGTGCAGCATAAGGTGGGCTTCCACACCATGTATCCAACATGCTTCCAGGAGAATAATGGTTGCTGAATCCAAAATCTATGCAATATGAATTTATATTATTTATGCCTAAACTTTGATGCCAAAAACTCCAAGTCATTTTAGGCCCAAAAAACTTCCATTATAGCTCCATTTGGTAGTTGGGCAATTCAACTAAACTTTTTCCAAAAAATAAATGAGCACTATTGCATGCATTAAACAGAAACTAGAATGGTTCGGTTTTGTTGTTTTAATGGAGATAGTTGAACATTACTTCATGCAATGTAATGATTCCACATTTACCTACCCAATCATTTTATATGTTTAGGGCAGGTGTACTCACAGATTATAAGAATTATGTAATAGCTAGACACAAACCTGCTATTTTGATATTGTTCTTTGAGTCTAACAACAAATTTTCAGTTTTAAGATCACGATGAACCACATGTCTCTTATGACAATATTCAACAGCTACAAGAATCTGAGCAAATATCTTTTTAGCGTCCTTTTCGGTCATGCTGCCATTTTTAGCAAGATGCTCTGAAAAAAAAACACAAAATAGTTTCCTATTATTATGAAGCCAGCAACCACTTATAGTGCACAAATATTGGATAGAAGTGCTGCTTTGATATACTCTATATTGAGGATGCAATGTCTATTATTTTAATAGCACTCTGATAAAAAAACTTTGTAAACAAAGCAATTCGCAACCATGTGGTAAACCCTTCAGGGTGATTATAGGAGTGGAAATATTTTTCTTAAATTTTTTATCAGAAAAAAATTTCCAGTGATGCTCATCGAATGTCTAAGTGTTTAAAGAACATAATCATCGAAAGGGTTGGTTTTTGGAAGGCACTTTTTGCCAAGATTGTATGAAAGTTATCAGCATTTTTAGAGATTATGTCAACATTGCATATTGTCTGATTGCACGAGTTCTAAATTAAGACATGTCTGGCAGGAAACGTAGGACGAATGCTGCGCCCAAACTTTCAATGTTAGAAGATGAGTTCTTGTGAAATGCGGAATGATGAACCCACAACAAATTTTATCAAAACTTTACAACGCGGCAACATCTGAAGCAGCTTGGCTTACGAACAGACCCTGCTAGCGTGAGATCGTCCAAATAAATATCTCGCAATTATATCTCGCATATAAATGCACATGCGAAGCACAGGTTAGAATAGTTGATGAAAATTTGATCATGTATTAATACTATCGTCTTTATGTTAAACAAATGAATGTAAAATTTACAAAAGCCAAAAATCGTAACTTTTTCGGTTTGAGGAATTTGTGGAAACAAGGAACTACATATTTGTTCCCAGAAGTGAAAATTTCCGTCAATTTTCAACAGGGAAAAGAAAGTCGCGAACTTCTTTAGATTTAAAACTGGGGCAACGATGCGGTTTGCTTCAACAAACCAATTCAAAACAGACAATGCTACACAATCACAATGTTTCCGTTCATGTGCGCGACACTTCGCCATTCACCCGAAGTATCTGAATATATGACAACATACGTAAAATCAGTATGATAAGACTGCACTAGGAACATTGACGAGGGGGTATTACGCAAACAGGACGGTTTAGTTTTGCGTCAACTTTCATACACATGATGTATCCTCATCCAATTGAAGACGCAAAGCTAACGCAACCTCTGTCAATAGAACCTTCATTGTGTAATTGGACTTCTATACATTCAATACAACACTCACCGAACATTTCGCCGTTGCTCGCATACTCGGTGACTAAATACAGCATATCCTTAGTTTCCATCACCTAAAAACCAAAAATTTTGTTACATTTTGTTGAAATTGTAATAAATCGATGATAAATTAAATAATGTCTAATAGTATAAGGTATCGAGCTAAACACTAGTGTACAATATGGATATGGCATAGACAATTTTATGATACACCGTCTTTGCCGACATACTTAATGGAATTCAAAATAATAGCTATCTTAAAATACTTAACACAAACAAACCTGATACAGCTTAACAACGTGAGGATGATGTAGAAGTTTCATGATTTGCACTTCGCGGTATACCTTCTTTAAATTTGCCTCGTCAAGCAATGTCTTGTCAATTATTTTTATCGCGACCTGTAGTAATTCGCGACACACGTTGTAAAATATATACAATTCAATTGCGTAGTTTGTGAGTCTCAAACTCTTTCTACAGTGATAGACGATACAACAGTTTCGAAATTGAAATGTATACAAACCTGACTCTTGGTCGTGCGATGTTGCGCCAATTTAACGACGGCAAAGTTACCCTTTCCAATTGTCTTTTCAATATCATACATTCCGACCCGCACTGGGTTTCTTCTCATTTCGTAAGCCATTCCCATTTCAAGTTGACCAGCATAAAGTTTTCGTTGTCTACAACGGAGAGAGACGACCTTATAAAACGGAGTTCGTGTGCCAACAATCTGCGAGAATTTTTCGCACAATAGACAGTCATTTCAAAGCAGTATGGTTTACGTCACTTTGACGTCAACGCGCTCAGTAAGTCCCGTTGCCATGACGCCACTGACAGACAGAGGAATGTTTACCCCGCTCGATGACGTTGTTAGCAGAAACTATGACGAACTGACGTTCACCGAAGGAGTAGGTCGGAGTGAACTGGAAATGGCATTAAAAGTCTTCCTTTCATTTTCTATTCTCTACCTCACATAATTTCCCTGTATTGACTGACTACGTAGAATGAAGCAGCAATGACTCAATCCGCTCTGGAATTTGACGGCCATAATAGACATGACCGCAAACATTATTAATGAAAGCAGTGCGTGCGTATTTGATTTGGCAACGCGTGAAGTCGGACTTCAAAACATGTTATGCAAGAAATGCTGAGATTGCAACGAAAACAAATGCAAAAAGATGTGCATCGAGTTTGAACCAACCTTAATTATCCCGTGAAAAAATAAAAAAAAATCTTGCCAACTTTCTTCCAATAAAATAAAGCAAAAATCGATTTGGAACATACGTTAAGGCCGTGTTTTCGACTAAAAGACTCGCTCTCTGAAATGAAAAAAGTTTATTTAACAAAGAAATGCGGTGGTTAAGCTTGCATTTCTTGTTTCTTCTCGACTAAGACATATATATACCTAAAATTTGACTATTTATTAGACTTTGGTTCGCCCAATTGTATCGTCAAAAAAAATCGTTTGAATAAATTAGAATAATACCAAAAAATCCCGTTTAATATTAATCTGTTGATATTAATCTATTGCATATCTTCTCCTTTTTCTTTCAGTAATAATGATCAGGGTATACAACCAAGTAACAGAAAATTGCGCTTTTGTAAGCCAATATTTTTTGATGTTTTAGTAGCTAATTAAAAAGAGCTATGTATAATGACGAACCACTGGATAAAAATGGTAAAGCCTTTGATAAATGTTAATGGCAAGGCTTCTCTTAGAAATCGTATGACTCGGCAATTTTGCATTCCCAAAATGGAAAACAGCGGTTCGCGCAATAAGCAATTTTAGTAAGTGAAATGTGAGAAGCTAGAATGAAATACATGTCTTTAACAAGGTCTGTCGTATAGGTGAATCAAAGACATCGCATCGTCGCGAGAAACCCCGAAAGTTTCTCGCAAGAGAATTTTAAAAAGTTGACGATGTGGTTTTGATGAATAAAATGAGAGTTTCGGACGGCATAAATCATAGTTTCAAAATAAAAAATCGCCGAATGTCGCTATTTTAAGACAAGAATAAAGACATAAATTGTTACATCACATATCATAATCAGAATGAAAATTTCAATAACGGTACGTGATTCTAAGAAGCCAATTAACGAAGTTATATGATGATAATTGATAACACAAAGTGGGAATACGACACGTGCACTCGTGCATGACACGAATAAAGAAAATGCTAGAAAATACTCAAAGTTCGAGCTGATAAAAACAACTTTTTTATTCTTTCCGCAACTATGGAACATATTACGTGCGCAATGATAACGATATCCTGTATCGTGAATCCTGCCCGTAAATAACGATGAAAAGCGATTTGCTGTATATGTTGCAGATCGAGTTCTTAGAATAATGAAGACTTCCCATGTTATATACGCATTCTCTATATAATTGACAGACTGTCATAAGGATTGGGCTTATTTCGTATGCTGTACGGAAAATGAAGAAATCGAGTCGGTCGTTAACTTCGTGAGGGCTAGTAAATTTTTCAAAACGAACGAAAAAACCCTTGTAGCTAGATATGTGCGCTAAGTTAGCTACATCAGAATACCGAAATCTATGTAAGTGGGTAATTACTATAACTGTTTATAACAGTTACTCTAATTTGCGACAACTAGCGGAGGCTTAACATTGAAAGTGAAGGACCCTTCATGAAAAATTGAACGCTTCACAGTTTAATTTTCTATATTAGAAAGATTTTATAAGTTATGCTGTTGGATTACTCGCCTTAAAATGTCTTTAGTAACGGTTTCTATATTATGACACTTGTCTGTAAAACGCTATAACTTAAAAACCTGACAATAAGTCGTTATTGCTAAATTGACTGGAGGATCTCAACCTTACGGCGTTTTTTAGAGGGGTCATTTTCGGAAGCTGTTTTAATTTTTTTCTAATAGGGCAATTATTAGTGGCCATCAGACCACAACGGCAATTTCATAAAGAACTTATAGAATTTTGTGCTTTCCCTTGGTCCGCTGTTAACGTCTGTGTGTGAGTGATAGCTGTGTTCTCATTAGAGGTCCTATCACATATTTGACTGCATCGCTTAAATAAGATTGTGAACTTAAAACGTAGATACAACTGAAAACACAGTTGTACGAAGTATATTTTCATTACGTCATAACCATGTAACCGCGGCTTCATTTCGACACGTCACCACTTGCTGATATTTAGATGAAAACAAAGTACTCCTGCATATCAAAGCTTTATGCTGGTTCATTCTTCTTTTGCATGGTGAATTATATATTACTTAAATTCAAATCGGATCTGATAAGTTATACTGTACGTACTTGCCTTTCTTCATCTTGGTCGAGGAACATTTCGTCAGGTGACAATGACTGATAAGGTCAACCAAACAACTTATCAAATATCTGTCTTCTACGTCAATTTTTTTTAACGCATGCTCATAGGGGATTTAGGGTAAAGGATTCACAACAGTTTAAAATTTAGCTAGAGCGCGATAACCAAAACATGATATCTTTGACTTTGCCTCAGATCTACACAGCAGACAACTTTCAATGCTATGAAGTCTTCTAATATGCTTTTTTGTTCATCTTTTTCGTTGCCATTTTGTGACATTGAACGAAAATAATCTATGTTAATTGTTAAACAATGACTTTTTTGTGTCGCATGCGTCATGTCGCCATTTTTAATAGTAACACACGACATGAGTTACAGCAAGAAACTTAAAAACCTTTCATCTTTTAACTCTGCTATACCGGTCACAAGCCCGGGACTTGTAGCATATAAGGCTCTCTGCTTTTGAGTAGACTTGCCTCGTTTATAAGGAAGAGGAGTGGAAGGTTAATTTCTCAAATGTTGTTAGATAAGGTCGTTATTGTTTGTAGTTGTTGGTCATAGCATTATGCTATCATTCTTTTTGTTTAAGAAACTTAATGTTGTGAACATGTTTGGAATGCATTCGCAAATATTTCAAGTGGTTTGTCACGTTAAAGACTAGAGTGGAGTGCTCACGGGTCCGCAATGTGAAATCTGATCATTCTCATGATGGTCACATGAGCAAATCAGTGGGGAGACTACGACATGTGCAGTAATACACTGCACATGCAGCCATTTTAAAAGATTCCCAGACAATTACGCAAAGCTAAAGTTATGTAACGCAGTGCCTCGAGGTTAGCAGGAAATGCCGCGTTGATAAGGCGGGGAGGTTTCCCTGCGATATCATATACCGAGCGGATATCACGAGTTTTAAAGCGGCATCCCTTTACACTTAAACTCGGTTTAAGCTTGTTTGAAGCCTTTGTATCAACAAAAATCACGATGCTGCTTGTTCAAGTGCATGTTTTGGGCAATGGACAAATGAAGACATTATACACGGCGTTTTTGTTCCAGATCACGGAAATTACTGTTGACTTTCGGCAACTTTAGAAAGACGCACAATTTTTTATTCAATCTTGATTATATTACTTTAATGTTATCTTTTGTCATATAACTAAAAAATAAGTACAAGATAGTTGACACGCGCTACAATTAAAAGTAATGTAGACGATGATTTGTTGTGCATTAGCAACATCATTGGGATAATAAGCGATATTTCGATTTTTCACTGTGCAAATATTTTACCCTTTGACACCACAAGTGCACATTTGGCTACAAGAAAACAGTCAATGAAACAGAACTTTTCATTGACATTTTTTTAAATAAAATATTTAACTTTGGCACTCTAGTACACCAATTCATCTGCACATGGCTACATCGTTGCATTCAACTGTATTTTGTGAATAAAATGTTTTATCCGTGTTGAAAAACGTTGCAAAAGATGTTATTGCCTAGCTATGTCCGACATAGACAGTGGTCATATTTGTAGTATCTCAAAATGTTTCAAATGAGTTACAAGCATTTGCAGTAACTATAATGATTGTATGAAATAACGATCAATTTCTACAAGTGTATTTCAAACTTCTCGTTCAACCAAGTCAGACCAAAAAATTGTTTAGAAGTCAAACGCTTTTGCAGCAGTATTTTGAATTTCGGCATGCAATTTAACGACAGTAGCTATAGCGGCAAGGATTATTTTGTGCGAGTAATAGTAATGAACTTTTACTTCAACAATGCGATGATTTCATTCATTTCTTCAGAAAAGTAATTCCATTCTTTGTTTTTCTAGTGAACGAACACAAAAATATTTGCATTGTAGGAGTTAAACACAGCTGGCTTTGCTTTTGGGATTATAATAGATTATATTTTCATGCTTTTGCGGTATAATTTCTTTATTGATTTCATACATAGCTTTGTTAACTGACTGCACTGCCAGTTTAAACCTGAACTAGGGGAACATATACAATACTGAAAAGATTATGTTGATGAATTGAAGATTACTATCGAGTCTCGACTGACACGCGTCCACAATCTCGACTGACACGCGTCCACAATCAATCTCTGGGTACCTAGTATGAATCCAGATGATAGTAATTCTAAATTACCAATCAAATTTATGAAAACACTAAAGTTTTTTGTTGTTCTTGACGCATTCCAAGATCAAAACTTCAACATAGGCTGTTGAAACGAATTGCCCTCGTTTGTGGTTTTTAGGCGCTTGTATCATGAATATTTTAAATACTATCAATTTTAATTAGACTTTTAATAACCCATGACTTATGTACAACAGATATAATCACTTCATCAACTGTCGCACAGTATTGAAATGTCGTTTATTTTCAAAGTCTGAAAGCATTTTTCAATTTCTTGAAATGGTGTAAAACAAGATGCGCGAAACGTCGTCAGAAGTTTACAAAAGTCTATAGGTTTCTTTTAGCTACAAATAGGATGGAAAATTAAGTTGTAGTAAGTTGAAAGTTTAAGCCGTTAAATGAAATTATAGTTGAAACGCGGACGGCATAAAACAATCGCTATCATCACGTACATCCATTGTTAAAACTCCCTTTCTTTGCGTTTTATCGGTTCGGAGCGAGTTAAATGTAAGCGATGAAATCATAAGCAATCGCTGAAAGACGAGATTACTTGCTATGGAAAGAATCAAGGTATAAATGAGATAGAGACGTCTGTCCTGAACACAACTTAAATTGGAACAAAGAAACTTATTTACTTTGTAACTTTTTTCTCTTTTTCTTTACAACCGCGATTTCTTGGGCACAAAATATGGCGTTTTTATCGGTCTCTCCACATAACAACTGTATGAAAATTGGCATTATACGTTTTTATTTATATTTAGGTGTCTGTAACCCCCTATGAATATAGCTCCTTTTGCATATGCATTTTTTCTGATTACACCATGTAGCTACTCAATTTCGCGTGTCAAATGCTGGCCCGTGAAAAAAAAACGTGAAGTCTCGGGAAATGAAACAAAAATCAACATTCAAAACGTTATAGCTCGGTGATTTTCATTGTACTTTCATAAGACGTATTCCCACATAGTCGTTGTAGTCATTTCTATGTCAACCATTGCCGTATGTTACTGCTGCATGGACAAAGGCAAAAATATATCCCAGCTGCATGTTTTCGAATCCTTGGCTTGTTTATCCCGTTAAAAGACTTTTTCATAGTCATCTTTTCGTCATAATAGCGTGGGCGAAACATACGTCATTAGCATTCCATAAAAATACATGCTCGAACAAGGAAGCAGGAAAATTCACAGTAACAAAAATTTGCAGTTAATACACAAATTGACAAAATATACCATTTTTGTTTCTGGTGAATTGAAACCACAACAACTGTGTTGTCAGCTTACAATGTTTTAAGCAATATTTTGAATATCTGTTTAGTCAACGTAAAAGTAAAATTACGTCACATAGGCCGTTGCATAAATTTTGACGTTGTTCAGCAAGAAGACAACGCGTGTTTCAGAGTTTCATCTCATGTTTATACATTTTAAAGCGAATATTACAGCTAAGAGTAGGCAGGCTGATTCAAACGATTCAGCAAAACTTTTTTGATAGCAAACATGTGAAAATAATTCAATCAGTCAAAACAGTTAAGCATATGCACAATTTCTATTTTCTTAGTCGTTTGTCGTTCTCGCCTAATCGAAGATTAACTGAGATCGTGTAAAGATAAACTCGTCTTTCCGAGCATGAAATCCCGCTATGGCAACGATTTATATGACCATTTACAATCACAGTTTATGCTCAATCCGCGAATTATGAAAACGAAGCGACACCAATGTATACAAGACTTAGACACAACATATCATTGAAAATAGACATAAAACACGTTTTTCTCTAGCGACCGAATTAAGTCGGTTTACTAGCCAAAAGTAATGCACCACTTTGTTGGCTCAAAATACAGCGTGCATGCTAGTACAGGTTTATAATTATTATATCACATACTGGCTAGTGACTATCTTCGTAGTTCGGTATACGTACCTTTTTAAGTTCGTCGTGTTATATATTCTATTCTTGTAGTGATGAATTACTTGCTGAGTGAAAGGTATTCGTGCGGAAAGCATTCTTCGTGCCTTCGTGAACATGTTACCAAAAAATAGCCCTGAATCGATAAACTATCTTTCAGTACCCACAGAAAAAAATGCGTCGAAAGATATGAACGAACTTGTCAAACATGGGTCAACAAAGTGCCTTGTTACTTTTCGAAGTTAGTTAATGTATTAAAAGAGCTGTCTTTAGAGTGCTAACTTTTTTCTTTGACGCACTATATACGCGGTTTGCGTAAGATCAAGCCATTTTGCTACGGCAGTGACGCATTTCCAACACATTTAGCACGGGACAATTTGGAAACGCTGACGTTTTCCAATCAAAGTTGTCGCACAGACTATACAAATTACAATGGTTTAACTGTATATTCAATATATCCAAATCAGGTGGACAATGTTACATCATTAACATTTCTCTCATTAAGGGTAAATAGTTAATCTTGTGGCATACATTAATTGTTTGTCGTACTCGGCTAACAATACAAATGAATCAATCAACATAATCAGCATACGTCATACAAACATGTGAATTCGCACACACACGGTGAGATGACCGCCTGCTTTCACACGCGGTAAAGAAGGGCAAAGACGAGGTAAAATCTGCTCAACATAGTAACATTAATTGCGATTTAAGCGATTAGCTTTTGACCTGCTTTAGTACATAAACAATCACATTTTCCTACAAATAATGTGATCGACTAATTTTTCAAAAGAAAAAGAAATTTTCTTATCACTGGGATGTGATATATTCCGAATGCAAGTCACGTCGAGAAAAACTAAACAAACAAAAAACACGTCAAAACATGACTGTTTCGATTGCCTAGAAAAACAAAAAGTCAAAAAAGGGTATTTGCAGTAGATCATTGTTGAAGATGATAATGAAAAAAAACTTTTTGTTTGACATTTTAAAATTACGAGAAATAAACTACAATAAAGAAGAAATGACGAATGACTTAAAATGCTTTTGGACATGAAAAAAATACTGAGAGCTTACGCATATAAACACACGCAGATTTGTAAAGCGAAGTTTCCAACAATTAACGCTTACAGGGCGATCATTCATCATTTCATTTTGGGCCGACGCGTAGTATAGACCCTAGTCATTTGAATAGTCTCGATTGAGTACTTTCAGTAGTCTGCGTAGAGCTGTGTCCCATACATACGTAGGTTTGCGTTCCAGGGGACAGAAGCGACTTTGACGACTAGTCCTGCCAGGCCATGCTTAACTGGCGACATCAGTCTATGACCGACTTCGATGATTGCCAAAAACAAAACGTTAGAATCCATCGCAAATGTCACCAAATGTTTTTCTTTCATGCCAAAAACTTCCAATTGCATATCTTTCGGACATCTTTATGTTAAGATCAAAGCAGTAAAATATATATACATAAATATTGGTGACAGTTCTTGAAAGAACATGATGCATTTGGAAATCATGGCGTTTCCTTGAATCGAATAGTCTGAAGATTCTGCGTAATTTGCTCCATTAACGTGTTTTCAGTCAGGGGTTGACAGACAACCTTAGGCGATTGATAGGACACATATGGTTTAAGCTAAATGTGAACAAATAAAAAAAATGTATTAAGCGTGGGTTATTTTGGTAATTATAGTTTATTTCAACAAGGGAAACAAACGAAATGAGTACAGAAAGGTACGATTACACGAACTTCCTGTCCTGGACATTATCACAGCAACAGAAATATTTCTTTGATAATGATGATGATGAAAACTTTACTTAAACATACTGACCCAAACAACCGAAGCTGGTTATCAAGAAGGGCGTACGAAAAACATACAGAACTTGTTTTGCAACTGTTTACAAAATTACGAAAGAGACAGTATTGTATTAACTTACGTAACAAGCTAATTTACGTATTCAAATAACAGATATATTAACTTTGTAGTGTTTCAAACCATTTACTTTGTAGTGTTTAGTAGCTTGCATCTAAAATTTGCTAGCCATCAAAGTGAGTGGTCATATAGAATAGAATAAATTTCTTGGTGGGGATTCTTACTCTGAGCACTGTTAATATACGTACCATAAAGAAAGTTGTGATGTTTTATGTAGATCGTGATAGCTATTATTGAGATCAGTTTTTAAATTTATAACATTGCATGGGTGAAACTTTTTGGCTGAATATTTAATGCGTTTAAGCGTAAACAGCAACGGAAACAACCTAGCGTGAAACTAAGTTATAAACGCAAATTCTCTTCCCAGATCGAATAAAAAAAATTGATTTCCAATAAAATCGGAAACATGTCACGTTCTTTGTCTCATGTTTAGTCGACACTTACCTCAAAATCTGTGAGATCAGGAACTACAAACTCGGGAACTTTCTTTGGAACGATGACGTAGTGACCTAGAAATCATCAAATATGTGGTCCACAATGATTTACACTAAATCCCCTAGATTTCTAACTACATTGTTAACGCAAAGCAAGGACGCTATCTTGACGGGTGTCAAAAAGTCCGACAAAAATGAGCTAAAGGAAAGTTTGAAAAACAAATCCTATCACACACTTAAAAAACCAAATCTAGACTCTGAACACCGCAACTGAGGCTGCATGTATACAACGCTGAAGAAGCAGTTTTTAATCCTAAATATTGCAAATGCCACCCTTCAAGATGGCTGCCTGCATCGCTCGCAACAATAGAATTTTGTCATGTAGATTGGGTTCTAGGTTATTGTTGGAATATGTTTATATAAAATGAACATTTGCAGGGAACGAATTCAATCAGTTGAGTTTTTTAATCTTATATCTTCCACATTAACCTCTCAGCGTTCACATGTACTCGATAAAATAAATGTTTCCTAACACTTGGGCCAGTACGTTGAGGCCAATGAAGCCATCTCCAACCGTCGCCAACAGTCGGAGGGGCATTAGTTCTTAAACTAACTCTACTTAACTAGCGGTAAGCCACTCATTCATATACACTTCAGTCTCTTCCGCATTATTTACAACCGTGACCGTACGTACAATAAACTCACCCTTCTTAGTGTGAAATCCTGTTGGCTTAACACCGCGTCCTACAAAGAAAAAAGAATGAAGAATGACGAGCTTTATCAGATCAGTGCAACACTCAATTTTCTATCTCAATGATTTAGAGTGAAATGTCAAATAAGATTACATTTTCCATTCTATCGATAATGTCAACAAAAACATGAGATAATATACTTCTACTACACAAAGATGAAGGAGACGTTGCACTTCGAACAGCTCATTGACTGACGTAAGGTACCATTAAAGCCATTTTCCACTTATACCATACTCTATTTTGTGCGCACGCGCTGTTTTCAAAATTATTTTTAAATTGTTCGTGAAGGTTTTTACACTTTTCCATTTTTTTTCTACCATAAAGTATGTCTCAAGCATTGAACTGAAAAAGAAAGCGAAAGCTACCTCCCCTGCCTGGAATAGGAAGCCAGCAATTCAGCTAGTTCCAATTTTTCCGGGTCAAAATATATTCTAGAAGCTCATTTTGAATTCAAAAGACTTTCTTAACAACGCTGTTGGTTAAAAATTTCAAAAGACGGCTTCAGACTAAAATAATCGCAATGGGATTCGCTCCAAAGATCTTAAAATGGAAAATATTTTCAGCAAAGTATTCTGACCAACCCTGGATCCGCTACTGTATGACCCAAACAAAAGTAAGCTAACATGTACTACTATACATTCTGGAGGAAAATTTGGCTTCCTTCTTGAACAGGTCAAAACCAATAATACATATATGTTTACTTAATGGTAGGCTATCTAGCCTTCCAAGTGAACATTCACTTTAATGGGTCTCGAGTGAGTTGAGTCAATTTTTTCACAGATTATGTGGGCAGTCATTTTATGCAATATGAAAGCATATAATGAAGAAGCACTTTGCCAAATTTATAATAAAAATAATATCTTGGCATGCTATATTGATAAACCTCTTATAACACCTCTTGCAATTTGGTACTGTAAAAATGGCTATCTATTAACATTTATTAATGTTGTCACAAGTACAATAAGTTGTGCCGAACATTGAACATTTCTTGAAATTATTAGGACTAATGTGTCAATGAAAAGAGTTTTTTGCAGTGAGTAAAACTGAATGATCTCTTGACACTGGAATGCATTTTTTCAACATTCATGTTTGTTATGCTTGTTCTTTTCATTATTTGTGTCATGCTCATCAGTGATTTATCCTAATTAAAACATATTAAAATTATGTGTAATTCTTAGTAAGCTAAATACATTAAATCAACATTTAGACATTGATCAAAACCATATATAATTTTCTGCCTAAATTTATAATTCAGGGTATTGATTGAGAAATACTCAAATTTCTAAATTATATTGTTATTGAGGTTCCTGATCTCAATAATTTGAAGAAAAACACTCAGTAATCTTCACACATTGAGGAATTAGCATTAAGAAGAAAATGATTGATAGCACCTCAATTATTAACTGACAGTACTTTGATTGCATTCATTAAAAGTAGGTACTTAGTACTTTGAAATAGAACAAAGTATGAGTTATTTAAACTTATATTTTAATACAATACTGAATTCGCCACTATGTCAGCGCTCAAATCTCAGGACGAGCAACGAGCCAGCACGTTGCGAAGAGACTAGGGCTATAACTCATGAAGTGCAGAAAGCTCTATTAAAAGCAATTGTTTATTGACTATTGTTATCAACGTTATGTTATCACGTATAGATAAAAATGAATCATTATTAATTAAAGCTCTGTAAAATGTCACATTCGTTCTATGCTCTAAATTTATTTCAGAAGTTTGCTTTGCAGAGAACTAACCACAATCGACATTGATGACAATTATTTACATTACGTATGCTATACCTTTGTAGAAATTCTTGTTTCCTCTTTTACCAGTCATTACTTTGCGACTGGCACCTCGCACTAGCCCTTGAAACAGGTCCAAAGGCATGGTTTTCGATTTTCTTCAAATGGCACGATTCAAAGAACAGAAAAAATTCTCATAGAAAGAAAATTTTCAAATCCAATGTACTACTAACATTGACTACAAGCAATGGACCATTGCAAGGACTAATCCGCCATATTGATTGTTTTCTGCTGGCTCGGTCTCATACCATTTATGGCAATTTTTTGGTGAAAATGTCAGCTGCAGGGAGACGCTGGCTCTTGTAATAATATGTTTTTCACCCCCCGGAAAATTGTTAAATTTAATGTTTTTTGCCGTATAAAGTAACTCTTCTATTTCAAAATTTTCTTTAAAAATGGCATTATATTGTGCTGTACCTGGATGCCAAATTAGTACAACAACTAAAAAGTTCTCAATGCACAGGTAAGAAAGATAGAATAAAATTTTATGAATGTGCTTTTCAATTCAACGAATTCGCTTTACGCAGACACTTTTTTCTCTTCATTTCCTTAAAAACTTTTTTCATTTTAATTAACTTCCTCATTCAATTTCATCATTCATATATCTTTGATTTAAATGTGTTTTTTTTTCAACTTTTGATGATTCATTGAAAAAATTTAGCTTTCCAAAGGAAGCGAAAGAACCCACTCTTTTCAAGATGTGAATGACGAATATCAAGAAAAAATTTTCCACTGGAGATTTATTTTACCCCCCAAAAGTGGAGTAGGATTTGTTAAGAGCATTTTTCTGAAAATTATCGTAAGCAAAGAGTGAGAAAGAGAGTATTGTTGGAACCGAAAGCGACGCCAACAATTTCCTCGGTGATGTGATACGGCGCACAATTCTTCACTGACCCTCTGCTGCTAAAATATTTTTCAGAGATTAAATATTATAGATGTGGAAGACGAGGGCATTTTAATGATGTCTGCCGTTGTACTCATAGCAATAATATTAGATTAGGATTATTTTAATCCAAAAAAGTGTTAACATTAAATAGATTATAATTCTTTTGTCACTCGCCAAATTCACGATATTTTGCTCAAATGCACTCAGTACTACTGCTTTAGCACAATCCTGTTAGGATGAATTGATAGTAATACCAGACAAAATGCAATAAACAATTACTATAATCCATATTTATTTTTTTATTTCATCAATTGAATTGTGTGGCTTACTAAAAGAGAATTCAAAAGCAATTATTTTAATAGAAAACTTTATTCTCTTTTGCCATATTATTGTGTTTGCTTTGTTGTATTTGCATTGTATTTTACACAGATTGAATGAATTTGAAATCAGGGGAGAGTGAATCATAAAAACAATTTCCAAAGTGAAAATTTTCCACCCAAAATATCCAGTTGGCCTCCATTTTTGATACCACCGAATTATAAATAAACTGGAATGATTACTCCGTTAACAATGCCTGTGATTGGATGAAGCCAACAAACGTCTAAAATTTGTCAACTCCCAAAAAAAATTCTTGGTGACCGACATTTGTTTTGACTTATGGCAAGGGAATAACGTTTTATAATTTTATTCATTGTAGTTTTTTTGGCAATTTTCTGCATTGTACCATGTTTAGCTTATATATAGTTATCTTCGTGTAAAACATTATCGGCAAGAATCGACTTTGATCCGACATCTATTACAAGACGGAAAATGCTAAAAAATAGATGAAACATTTTATTTGAATATTTTTAGTGTTGTGCACACCTATTTTATAAATATATTTTTTACGTGCATCATTGATGTCTTTTTACGTTGATTCTCTTCAATAGAAGATAAATATTTTCTCCAGTGTTTATTTTATTTTTGCTCTCACAAATATTACGCATATAAGCTTATTCGTGATATGCGATGTCTTTTCCTCTTTGTTTGGCTTTTTACACACAACACAAAAAAAGAGGGCATTGCATACATGAAATATGTTAATGCGGTCAAACTTTCACTGACATAATATTTTATTAAACAAGCTTTTGGCTGTCTGTCTACAGCCTTCGACGACTTATAAAAGAAATAAATGGGATGGGGTATGACACTATAAATACATAAATAAAGAAGCGGCAATAAAGTAATATGATACAATGAATAAAAAAGTAATATATTAAAAAGTAAAAGGTAATAAAGTAATAATTAAAGAATATGATGCCATTTATTTTCTTTTACATTTGGTCGAAGGCTGTAGACAGACAGCCGAAAGCTTGTTTAATAAAATATTATATCAGTGAACGTTTGACCGCATTATGTATAATCCTAAAATCGGATCACGTATTTTTTCCATGAAATATGTTATTTGTGTTTATACATTAAGTCAAGAAAAAAGCTTTTATGTTTTTTTTGCGAGAATCTTTACATCTTTACTTTTCATCATGACACTGAGCGTATATATACTTGCAATGTTTGTGTTTTTGTGACATTCGTAAAAAATGCATTTTCTCTTTATGACCAATAAAACTTTTGGAAACTTTGATAGTTTGTACATTTAGCCGGGAGCTACAATATTTTAGTAGTTTAAACAGGCAGGTATGTGTAGAACTTCTTATAACTCAGAAAAAGAAAAAAATTTTGCCAAATTTTTTAAGTCAGGTAATATTTCAGAAACTGAACCACGTTTGTTCTTTATAATTACTCGAGTAAAAAGTTTAATGCCTCCACTACAGTCATAGCTAAATATTGAAGGTATTAAACAAACATGAAGGGGTGAAATTCAGCGATATAAAAATTGTGTTTTTTGCAAAAACAAGGTTACAAAGTACTGGCATTACCTACAAAACACGGCTTCACCCCATCCCAAAGTTATCATTTCAGTATAATTAAAATTCACTGTTTGATACTCGATTCCAGCTCCTTACCCCCTCCAGGTAATACATTAGAACTCAATGCGCTCAACCCACCCGTAATTGTCTGGATTGCAGTTTACGGGAGCTGAATATACAACTCACTTTGTAAAGATAGTGGTGACAGGTGAAGATGCTCAAAGTATATTTTCGCACCATTTTATTACACATATTTCTTTGACACTAATTCGTTTAAATTAAACAAAGCACGACGCCAATATTTTCTAATTTTACGGCTTAAAAATGAACACACTTTTAATTCAATTTTTCGCCAACTTTCACCGAGCTAACATGGCGCCAAAAAGAATAAATTAGCAATCGCAATGGCTAAGCGTAGCTGACGAGCTCTCTCGAGATGACAATTGGGGCAACACAACGCATGTTTGAATGGTTATTACTAAACAAATGTATCAGAGAAAATTTATTCATGAGCAATACGCGATGAAACAACAATATCCTCGACGTATAATACAACCAATACATGCAATGCGTGTCACCAATTCAGATCGCACGGTACATCTGAAAAACCTTGGAGGTTTTGTTCACACTAAGGCAAAATCATTAGGGATCTCTATAGATCGAGCGATCAATTGTCAACTTTACGGAGACAAAAAGAAAGATAATATTGAGAAAAAATTGATGATATTTAAAAACAAAACAAAATACCAAGACATGTCGCTCTCCTTTTGTACAACCCACAAAAGCATTATATATCATAAGTCTCGAGCCCTTTCGTTACAAAAACTCAACAATGGGTTACCAACATATCGTTACAAACCGTTTACTGAAAAAATTCGAATTATTCTTTAGTCAACGTAACACAAAGTCATTCATATGTCGCTAAAAGCAATCATGTAATTCATGTACTGCACATACACTGTAGATATTTGTATGAACAATCGAAGATACCCTAACCATAAGGCCCGTTTCAAACGTCGCATTTGACACGAGCTGAGTGCAATTAACACAAAAAGTGTTCGGCTCATGTAAAACGCGACGTTTGAAACGGGCCTAAAATCACAATCAGGATTGACTACAAAGGAGTACGACAATAATTGACTACGACTTGCTAAATGTTAACAAAAGAACGCTAATCAGCAGAGATTCTAATTCAACTTTCTGCGAAATTATCTACGATGTATTTTCGTGAGCCGACAAGATGGACCCATACGTTGAAAACTTGGATTTCTTGATCTATTTAATGTTAGAACAACTAACACGGCTGACTTACATGAAAGCACACAATAAAATGATAAAGTGCGACATTCTACAGATTCACGCCTTGGTTTATGTCAAAATGAAAGTTCGGTTTGTGTTGAAAAAGCAGTAAACTTGATTTGGATGAATTATCTAAAATGCTCATGCACACTTTGTACGAAGAATGAAATAAGGCATTAAGTTAAACAGCGTAGAAGCCAGCTGTTGGTCCCGAACGATATTAATTCAATTAAGTTTTACATCAACGCTTAGTATGAACGATCCTCATGTCCAAAAAATACATCATATTAACCCATGCAAGGTAATCTTCGTCAAACGAAATCAGGTTTTTCTAGAACTTCACAGTTATAGCGAAATATTTCATTAAAATAAGTTGAAATGCTGCGAAAAGTGCCAAAACAGGCAACAATGCAGCAAAGATCATTGCTTCAGTTGACGGTGAATGATCAACATTCACGCGTAGCTACCATTTTAAATGTTAACTAATAATCAATCAGTTGACGTTTCTTTTAGCCCAAATTCAACAAACAGTGTATCAAACCTATTAAAATATCCAAAAGCTGCCTTCGCGAATATTACGAGTTTCGCGTGGGCAAAACGTTTGATGGCAACCATTCAATCTGCAGCATTGATCAGAAACTAAATTATTGATAGTATTCCTATGCATTTACTAAGACTTTTCAAAATCTCTTTTATCTTTCCTATTTATTTGATATATATCTTTCTTTTGATATGCACTAGTTATCCTGAATGACAATTCTAACAATTTCGCGTCTATATACAATTCAGAATTCTAAGGAATGCATACCGAAATATATTTACTTTCTTATTCTTACATAAATTATGTATGTTGCCAACCGGTGGACAACGAAATTTACACCCGATTGGCCAGCTCTCAAGCTGCATACTTATTGTCCCTATTGCCACATACATAAAACGATCGTCGGTGAACGTTTTTCCAGTATATTTTCAACAAGGAGCATGATAACAAGCCAATCAGGTGTGAATTCCTTGGAATATTCTATAATACTTAACTATTTGATAGCTGTACAAGACCTTTTCACCACGGTGTTGTATCTCTCGTTAAAAACTCAGGGGAAAACGAAACATGTCGTTGCTCTGAACCAAACGTAAATTATTCATTGGTGAGTGTACTCCTGCCTTTTCTATGGATGCGTCAACGACAGTTACAACTGCACGGAGACAACGCAAAAGTACATCGTAATGCGGATTCAATTATTTGCCATAATGTTCCTTTGAATTTTTTGTTCTGACACGTCTTGGTGGAATGGGATGGAACATTAATTCAAAGCAAAATCTAGTCATTACAAGTCCATTCCAGATAATAACTCACTACATAATCGTCGATATTCCCACGTATCCCCACCCAGACGTCGCAATCGCAAGCCATTCACGGCCAACTCGGGAGACTGACATACTTCAATCTGCATTTGAACCTCGCCATGTTGAAGAGTGAAGAGCAAATCAGATTCGTTGTAAAACAGAGAGGAGGAACGATTCTCCAAAGTGTTCCGAACCTCATCCAGTATACTTTTCAAAGACTTGCGCGATATCATGTTCATGCTGAAAGCTAACGTCATGCGGTCCGCAGCTGTCGGACTAGTCAAGCCATTATACTTGTCAAGCTTCGCCATAGGAAGAGAATAGAAGCTAGGAGAAAATGGCATTCTGCCTTTTCCAGAACTATTCTCTTTCGATGAAACTGAGCTCACCAAGTTATTATTAAATGGCATTCTATTGTATATGCCACTTGTCTGCACCTGTCGCAGTAAATCGCTAGATGGTTCGTCACTTGGCGTTGTATGATGGCGTCTATGTTGTCCTAAACGTGCGTGGTCTGCGGTTGACGGCCTATTTCCAGGACTGCCAATATCTTTATGAAGACTGGCAGTATTGAGAATAAAACAAGGATCTAAAGGGTCCTCTTCTATTTTTACTTGATTCTGATTACCAAGAAATTGCTGGTTGACAGATGCCGAAGAGAAAGATTCACTACCAGGCAAATGTTGGGGCGACGTATCGCCATGATTTTCAGCTCGAAAAGGACTTGAGTGCGCGTTGAACTGCAAACATTCGTTGCGAGCTTCTACTGCCACGGGTTCTTTTTTATAAAATTGTTCGCTTTCCTGCAGTGACCCAAGGTAAGAGGATGAAAATCCCTCCGGTGATGCTTGACCGGGAAATGTTTGATAGGCGTCGCTGGAAATCGTTCCGTACGTAATATTCCCAGGGCTCAAATGACCTGCCATTGAATCAAGTTGTAGACGCTGCATCCCTTGTTGCAATTGCTCATGAGGACCATTGTGCATCATACTTTGAAATTCATGAGGAGACGTCTGCGGACTATAACTTTCGCCGTGACTTGGAATTGGTATTGGTAAAGGACGAATCACATCATCAAGAGGCTTCTGTTCCTCACAAGACTGTTCGAGGTTTTCGGAGCCAGAACACATTTCATTTTGCTCTTGTATATCTTCATCCATGTTAACATCGGTTGGCATTGAGCTTGGACTTGTTGGAGACTGACCGGAGAATGTTAGAGGGTGCTGACTTTCGATGTTTTGCAATTGCTTTTTTTGTTGCGATAAAGACAATTGATTATTAAACTCAGCAAGGGTCGCAGCAAGATTTTCGGGGCCGTCGGAAAACCTTCGACCTCTAGGATCCTGGAGTCTACGAAATGGCATCGGCAGCAAGGGATGTTGAGATCTTGTAGGAACAGTCGGCGACAGTTGCTGTTGTTGTTGCTGTTGATGGTGAAAATGATGACGCTGATGCAACTTTAGGGTATCAAGCTGGCCATTGTTTTTAAACCGTTGCTGCAGCTTCTGATGTTCAGCGTGGATTTCTTTCAAACTGCCTTTCCTACACTTGCGATCCAAATGCTGCGTGAAAGCAAGAAGCGATGCAGCACCATCAGAAGCACGACGTGCACTGTATCTACTCATACCAGGTGCACAAGGATAACCACTATCGCGGTTAACGCGCTCGCGACTAGGGGTGCGGACACGCCGCGGAATCCTCATCGGCACTTGACAAAGTCGACTCTGAATGTCAGGTGGAATCTCATTGGCTCCAGATAGTGTATGCCTTTTGTGACCACGCAATCGCAAATATCTTTCAACATCCTCCTGATCGGGTTCTTGATCTGAGCCACTTTCGTGCTCATCATTTGCTTGAGGGCTTGGTGGACTGGAGGAAACCGAAGCTTGAAAGCCAGAGCTACCTAATAAGTTCTCTCTACTTGTGTTTTCATTCTGAGATGCAAGCATTTTGCGTTCCCGCAAAGCATGAAACTGTGCAATACCAGCTGCTAGGCTGGAAGCGCCATCAGACGCTCTCCTGTCTTGAAAAGCTTGCATTTGAAAGATGGAATGAGCAGGAAGACGTTTTTCGGGTAAGCACATTGTATTATGATGAGAAATCAATGGAACACGAGCGTCCATAGTAGAGTATTGCTCCGGTATTCCACATGAAACAATGGTGTGCCGCCTTCTTTCCAAGTATCGCTTGACATCCGAACAAAACTCGTGCGACGACACTTCGTCAACATCTTCTTCGTTCTGAAGTCGACTTTTTATATTCGCATCATCATCAGACCTATTTATTGTTGGAGAAACAGGTGTTACCTGAACCACCGGAATGGGGCTTTCTCGAGCACTTGAATCATGACTCGGTGAAGAGCCACCTACAATTATCACATCACTTTCCAAAGATCGACCATGGGCTTCCATTGGAGTGCTTGGTAGAGTAATCGACTGAAAAACAGCTTGTTTGTTATGAGCCTTTTTCCATCGCTCCACAAGCAAATAGTAAATGCCGGACAAACTGTCGTAATTCATGTTTAGGACAGCCTACAAAAAATTTTTACACCAATTGATGGCTGAATGGTCACCATCAAATAACAAGTTTAAAATATACCTGTCTGATAGTTTGTTCGTCTGAAAGTCCCATTTCACACATTTTATCGATGACTTGTTGATTTAGACTCGGTGTGCCGTTCCCTGCTGGTGACAACGGTTGACAGTCCATATAGCCCTCGTCGCAGTCCGCTGTCATCCATTTGTGCTGTTTCACCTGGCTGACTGTGTAGCGTTTAGCGGGCTCAAGAACTAGCATGTGCCTGATCAAGGTTTCACACTCTACACAATAACGGATATTGACAGATGTGAATTCGTTGGGGAAATGTGTGCTTTACAAGCAGCCAAAGAAGTAAAATTACTAAGACTAGGCAGGAAAAATGTTGCTATGTTTCATAGAAAGCATAATTATACACCTGTATGGTTCGCGAGTAACGATATCAAAATTCATCCAGAATGATTACTAGATTCTGAATGAAAAATCTTAGCCATTAGATATAAGTAATATAGATCCTCAATTTTTATAGCAGGCATGAGTAAGTACCGTTTTGTCTTTTTGACCAATTGTGGGTAATAACATTTCATTAACTGATTTGAACCATGTTCTCTTTTAGATGGCCCGTCAACGAAACGCTTTAAAATGGCACATGACTCCAAAATTGTGCTATTTATATTATATTTTATATTATGTTTAAAACTTTGTATAGCGACTCATTAAGCAAAATGACGTAAAACGTTGCGTAAAGCGGACATTACAAACATTACAATATCTTGAGAATGAAAAGAGATATGCGTAAACTATTTCAAAAAATACTTTTCATAATAAAAGAATGAAAATATAATTCAAAATATAATTCAAGCAGTAAAATTTGCGAGTCGTATGCCCTTTAAATGTTCTTTCAACAGAAACAGCGTCGACATAACATTAAAAACATTCTCAAACCTGTCACTAACGTTCACTTCGTTAGCAATTCCTTACGGCATATTCCTTAGTGGCAAATGATGAAAAGTTTCTTCATATCAAAGTTATAAAATCTTACGGTTTTCCCTCATGAATTTTCTTCAGAAATAGCCAAACGACACATGAAGTAGATCAAAACATAGTCGTTTAAAAACGTGTTTGCAATAGTTTGAAAAAATGTTTCACGTTTCACGTCATGTAAGCGCAAGTATAATAACAAGAACAATATTTTTTAATCGTTTGCAATTTTTTTAAGAAATAAAAGAAAACACAGTCGAACCTATACTAAGCGGCACCGTGCTAAGCGGTTATCCTGTGCTAAAGTGCCTAAGGAGCGAAAATTTTGCTAGTTAAACTATGTTTGCATTGACCAGAACTTTTGAAATGACAGTGTACTTTCTAAAACAGTTTATGCATGTTCCCTTTTCATACTTGGGATACTGAATTTTTTTTTATTTCCACTTCACCCAATTTGTGACGTCATCATGCACGATGAGTCAGCGCAATGTTTAAAATATTCTTCAGTTTCCTGACAGCTTTAGGTTGATACAAGCAGGCAACATTTTATATTTCTAACACGTAAAAAAAAGGGAGCTCTGCCCTGTTGAAGTGACGTATCAGTAAATATACCGAATATTTCTAGTCCATTATGCAAAGTGACGCTCGATAACGCAAGAATGAAGAGTAATATGCATTAAATGCTATAGAAAGTCCATCGTCGTTTTAGAATATCTGTTCAATGAGAGTATAACTCAGAACGCAAAATTTTCGTTTCATAAACACTTGGCGGTCATGTGACACGAACCCAAAATTCCAAAAAACAAATACTATCTACATGACCTTAATAGAGCAGTCGCCTCTGTTAAGAGGACGCGATCACTTTTTTCAAAGGTCCTAAACTTTATTTCTCCTACAGTTATATTTTACTTCGGAAACGTGTCGAAATCTTTACGTTTCAAAAGTCCGTAACAAGAAACAAAAACTGATGAATAATTTTTCGGCAGACAAAGCTCTGGCATTTTTATAGTGTCTAGTTTCTAAACTGAACTGAGAAATAATTCAAAGTTTATACAGTTCTTGATTGATTGTTTGGTAAGTGCATATTTTATTGCTGTTCAAATTGAGTAAAATTAAATGTTAAATTAAACGAGGTGGTTTTCTACAAGATATGACGCCGGTTGTATCAAAGGCGGATAAGATGGTCGCTATCCAATGGATAAATTTCATCCAAGCTAAAAATTGCGTTGTATCAAGCTTGGATAGCACTATCCAACGGGTAAAAATGCACTAACCGTTCGATGAATTTGTTCGAGGTCCAGAGGTAACCTTTAAATCCATTATCCGGGTGTTAAGTTAAAATAAAAATAACTTTAAATTTCACTAGTTATTTTACAAAAAAATATCTTTTTCACACTGAACATTCGCAATTTCGACTGCAAGCCAAATCTTAACAGCCCTTTGCTTTCTCAGTTGCTGACATTAGGGAGCTTTAGAAAAGATTACGGGTACGAGTGCGACAATTGTCAGAGGAAATTTGTTGTCATTGTCGCTACGTCAATTTGTTATTTTATTTAGTTGTAATTAACGAAACGAGCTTCATTACCTATGAGAAAAGCCGCATTTTTTGAAGTAGCTACAGCTCTATTTTCCAACGATATGGTCGATCAATCCGTAATGCTGATTGGGCAAGAATACAGGACTCTTTAGTGTGCATCTTAAAGTGCGCCTATCAGTAAAAACTTTTATTTGCCAAAGCAAAACTACGTGAAATGTATAACGTAGCTATTGGTGAAAAATTTTAATTTGGTCAATTCGTCCGCTTGTTATGGGCGGTCGAAAGTTGCTTTTAAAAGGACCTTGTCCGTCGTTGCATGAAGTGTGGGTAAAGCAAAATTCTGACGTCATCTAAGGTAGTATGTATATATATATATACATAAAAGATAAAAGTTTCTCCGGATTTTAAGTGATTTTTATTGAGCTTTCGACTCGTTGCTTCGAGCCTACATCAACAAGTCGAAAGCTCAATAAAAATCACTTAAAATCCGGAAACTTTTATCTTTATGTATTGAATGCCTGGATTACAAATTTTCAAACATATATATATATATATATATATATATATATATATATATATATATATATATATGAACTAAAATAAAATGGACAATTGTTTGCTGTCGCTACTCGGAGTTTCACGCCGTAGGGCGATCTTCAGGCAACTGACAGATAATATTTTATTTGCTGACTATATACATCGACTAAAAGGTGTTAAGTTACATGACGGTATGCACTAAACATTTTATCTTTACATTTTATCATTTTATCTTACGCTCTTCTAATATATAGAATATTGAGCGCTCTTTTATCCAGGAATATTATCCGTACTATATATATATATATATATATATATATATATATATATATATATATATATACAAAGTGCATATACAATGTGCCCTCCCGGCTAACATATATATATATATATCTCGTATCAAGGAGTCCCTTGCATGACGTCATAAAAGTAAGTCGTTCACACTTTTCGGACAACGCACAAGGTCGAGCAAAAAGACGTTTTTGCCAACTTTAAAATGTTGGAAATGTTGGAAATCACAACCTAATTGAACATTGCATTTAGAAACTTTTGCTGTAAGGAGGCGCACTTTAATAACCCATAAATGAAAAACAAATCTCTTTGTCTCAAAAAATTGTCAAAAATGTAGCGTGCGCCCAGGTTTGACATTTAGCTACGTACAGTAAGTCATTAGCTACTCAAAAAAAAATTCTTCCCATATTGTAATAAAGACTGTGAAATCTTACCAGTGGACATGAAGAAAGGAATTCTAAATTTTCCAGCCAGAACACGAGACCTCAGGCTCTGCAAGGTACTGCCATCGAACGGAAGAGCACCGCACACGAGCACATAAAGAACGACCCCCAAACTCTAAAGTGTCAAACATAGCTACGTTGTAATGTAGTTTTTAACATTTTTAAATTTTGTAAAATAGAAATTATCGTATCTGCAATTAATTTTGGTACGCAATTCAGCCTATAGGCTGTCAAGTGTTAATTTGAACTATTTATCTCTCGACATGATAGTTAGCATGGTTAAAAGTTTAGGGTCAAGATAGTTGAGGAAGTGCCAATGTCGATCAATGCACAATAACCAAAAACGAAAAATCCCTCATTTAAGAACTATTTTTCATGCTCTTATATAAAGAGTTGATTAAAAAAATGAGTTGATTTGAGTTGCGTGCAGCAGTGTGAAACTGTTCCCGTCGAGAGCTAACAATTGAAAGGAAAGTGATCGGAAATAGTTGATCGCGCGGCAATTAGCACTGAATGGAAATCAGCCTTCAGTCAAAAAAGGTTGAATGAGGACGTACGGAAACACGCAAAAAAATTTATAACAAGAGTTTAATATATTCAAGCATTGGAAAAATAAAGGAGTGATTTCGCGTAATAAAATTGTTTGGAAATGTTACTTGTTTTATCATTATATTATTATGAGTCATGTGTATAATTAATAAATTAACTTCTGCGCGAGATGATTTACGTAAGGCAGATTTGAAGTGCTTCTAATTTTTGTGACAGCTATATCACTATAGTCAGTTATTCTTGAATAAAAGTCGTTAGGAGAGATAGTCAACGGAAAATGATGACGTTCACGATTGCTTAGCGTAAATACGCAGCTACTTACCCAAATATCAACCTCAGGTCCAAGATATTCTTTTCCTTCGAATAGCTCTGGAGCAGCGTATGGTGGACTTCCACACCACGTGCGCAATTTCTTTCCTTTCTCGAAGAAATTACTGAAACCAAAATCTGTAAAATTCGACAGAGACATATAAATTCGAAAAATACAAAGAGAAATCGTTTTGGTGAAATTTCACAGGCTGCGTTATACCAAAATTCGCTGGACTCATAACAACCTACCTGCTATCTTTATGTTCATGCGCTCATCCAACAGGAGATTCTCCGCCTAAAACACATCATAATTGCGTTCAGATAATAACAGCTGCCAACCAACTCATGGGAATTATTAAATTGTATAACAACATTGGTTATATACATTACGTATTAAATTTATCAATTATTTTGGTTGTACTAATTTTGCTGTACCGCTGGTGCATCATTTTCAAAATGTAGGCTCGTAACTAGAACGTTAAATGAGGGAGGGGGGGGGTAATTCATACGTTCAGTTGTGCTCCACTGACTTCCTTAAAAAGAAAAGAAATCAGTAGGGAACAACTAAATCAATAAATAACCCACCCCCCACCACCACCACCAAATTATCGTTCTATTTAAGCCCATGTCACTATGGAAATGGCTAAAGTTAAAACTAACCATTGAACTAAAAAACATGGAACGCTACCTGTAATGGAAAAGTCTGATAACTTTTTGAAACCCAATCTTACACCCAGACACGCGTGTATAGTCAGTCAATCAATTTTCACCCCGCGAGAGAATCTCGAAACACTACACACGCGTGTCTGGGTGTAATCTCGCGTGTCTGGATGTAAGATTTGGCTTCAATTATTTGCTTCAGATAGCGTTCCGTGTATTTTAGTTCAATGAAAGTAACACGAGTAACTCAATCACAAAAGAGAAGTAAAGTAATCTTCGTCGACAGTTACGGACACTTCTCAAAAATCAAATTCGTGTTTTGTTTTTATCAATAATCAATACGCCATTAACAATCAGCTTAAACAATTCTTCAACTTTTATAGCATGAAGAAAGCCCAGCTCATTTAAGACAACGCAACAGAACACTCAAGGAAACTTTCGGTGATACGCACATGTAGATATTAAGCTAAGACCAAAACCATCTAAACGACAAGGAACAGGATTTTACTCTCAATAAATATAATACTGAAATACTGTACACAATTAACCTGGTCAAGGACTCAAGGTTGGGAATACAGTAGTCAAACAGACTTGTCTTATCACTGCTAAAACAACAAATAATCTTTCACAAAGTCTGCAATTTTGCATTATGAGTGCCTACAACTGCCTCAATTTGTCAAACCAAGAATACAAAAAGGTTGCTTTAAAATTCATTGGGTAAAAAACCCACAAGCAGAACTCTCGATAACAATATTATTACTTTAATATTTCGGTTTACAATAGAAAGACGTGAACTTGCTATCTTAAAAGCAATTGTGGATTGAGACAAACCTTGAGATCTCGATGGACAACATGTCTCTTGTGGCAATACTCAATGGCCGAGACTATTTGACTGAATTTCTTCCTCGCATCTTTTTCGGGCATCCTGCCGTTCGTTACAAGATGATCTAAACACAAAGCCACATAAAAAACAAATTTATAAAATGAACTTTTCTTCAAGAAATGAAACAACACTACGTTTGCTTCATGTGAATGACATTCGTCTATGACGAAAATTTTGTCTCTCTGCAGTTTCCAATACTCCATTTCTACAAGGTTCTTCTATTACGAAGCATTTCAAACACAAAGTGCGTTCAGTAATATTCAAGTCTTGATATGTAGTTCATCGCGGTGAACAATTTTTTAATGTATTTAGCTTATCAGGCATATAATCCATGTAAGAAAGTCATATAAATCGCGAACAATTGGAAACCGAGCTACCAAGTGGTAAAGCACGACGAGAGAATTTAGCACATTACATAGCTACAAGAGAATTATGTTTTCTAGACTTGTATTTGCTGGAATGTATTATCAAGTACAAATGGTTAACGATTGAATTTGTTTGGGTAATATCCTGAATAGCCACAGTATTGGTCTACTTCGAGTACAGTTTTGTGAAAACTTCACAGCATTTGATATTGTTTAGATATTGCTTTCAACGTGTGACAAAAAACTTCAAAGATAAACTTTCCCTGTTGCAGTTTCATTGTCGTATATTTTAAGAACGAAAAAGCTTTACATTTTTCTGTATTTCATCCAATTTGCCAATTTTTAAACTACGCGAATTTATCCTTAAACTTTATTCTTGCATTAATGATGCTGACGATCGCAATTCTTGCAATCATTGGTGAAATATCCTGGAAATTTTGCCCAGGGGATGGAGGGTCCCTAGGAATACAGCTCCCCTTGGTAGTAGAAGTGTAGCCCGGGTAATTCAGAATACATGGACAAACCTATATATCCCTTAAGTGCTAGTCCGATTGGAAGAATTTGAGGCTTAATAATTCTTTATAAATTTATTACAAACAGCGTTTTTAGACGAAAGAGTATTTTGAATTTAAAGTGAGTCTTTGTGAGTTATTTTGACCTACCCTAGATCCGCAACTTCCCCATTGGGAACTTCGCCCTCTTTCAAGGCAAGTTCACGTGGGCAATTTTCGAAACAATTTTCGTCGCTAAAATGCATTAAGGTTTCAATTCTATTTGATACGGATCCACTATAGATACACTGCTATGAAATAATTTGTGAGAATCGTCTTGCTTGGTTACCTACCAAATATCTCTCCGCTGTTAGCGTACTCCGTTACCAAATAAAGCATTTTCTCCGTCTCCATTACCTTTTGAGGAAAAAAGCAATCATAAAATGGAGATTTGAGAGCACAAGCATGCGAATATAAGATGGCGAATGAATATGTGACATGAGTGCATTTATGGGGGTTGTAGAGCACACGACCATATTAATAGAGCCACAAATTTGGGTTGTTGTTACCTAAATAGATGAAGCTTAATGATAGGAAGTGGAACTTTTAACATACGAGCAAAACTAAAACTAAAAACAACTCCCGCTGCTCGGTTCCAATCCCCTCCACACAAGAACCCACTCAACAAATAGATTAAGCCCATTCGCATGTAAAGATTAACGGCGAATTCAAGAATGGCAGCCAATAAAAAGCTTGGATCAAAAAGGTTAAGCAGCTATCGTTTTTTCGCAGGAAATAGCAGGCTCTAACTGTATTTATTTGAAGTTAGACAAAATATCGCTTTCTTTTATCCAAGATACAGTGAAATACATTGAACATTTGTTATATAAGATTCGACGATCTCTAGCTATAATGTAAAATGTCTTTTTAATGCACTCATAATTTCCAGGTTACAAGCGTAAAAGAAGAAACACGCGAAAGCCTTTTAATATCATCTGTATGTTGTCCATTTTTTAAGTAAGAAAATGTTCAAAATGACAATGCCGCGTTTCCACCTCCCCCACCCCCCTCTAATCAGACTTTTTTCTGACTATATAGCATTTTTCAAATATGATGGTCGAGGTACTACTTTGCATGAAACAGGCTTCAAACAGAAAAAATTTGAAATCTAAAAGAATACTGACAAATCTGATATGTCAAAACTTGAAAATGTAGCCAGCTACCTCAACTCGTTTATTTTACGTTCGACGATGCTCGTATTTTTAATATTCCACTATTAAGATAAGCTTTTAGCTACCGCAAAACATACGCATAGACATGCTAAAAATAAAAATCTAATTTAGCTATGAAGCGATCATTTTTGGCATGCGGACGCTTCAAAAAACTACGCGCGCGCGTGTGTTTGTGAGCGGAGGGGGGGGGGAGGGAGGACGTGTCCAAAAATAGCATCGAATCACTTCGGAAATACATGTTCATGTGTCATTTTGCGCCATTTCGTCCGTGTAGATAAAAATTGTTAAGTGCGAATATGTCACGGCATGTGAATAGCGCGTAATGGCAGCACAGCTAGCATTCGTCTGCAGTTACATAGTAGCTGCCTCAATTATGCGACGGCCATCAATCCGCATTTTCCTCAATTATTTCATATAAGAACTACAGGCAAGCCTTTTATTCAGATGATAAAAATTGGCATGAGCGAATCACAGCGGGGCACAAGCGTAAAGTCTAAAACTCATTTAAAGCATGCGGTTCGCAATGAAAAAAAAAACACAAACAGTTAGGTTGTCTACCAGGGAGGTAATCTTATCAAACGTATGGCCAGTGGGTAACATGGAATAATTATATATTTTTTGTTGCAATTAGAGTTCCGTTGTGCATAATGCTAGATTTTTTGTATGTATAGATGATTCTACATTAATTAATGTATGTTAGACAGTTGGAAACACAATGAATTATACTACAGTCATAGTTTATTGCACGATAAACGTTCCCATGATCAAATTAAGCACTCTTCCGTCCATTGGCATCGCACTGACTTATAAATATGTTTTGAACGGCCTTGAGCCCTGGATGCATACAGATATAAAACTGCAGACGCGCAAACTGGCACCGAGATCACACCAGCATCGACAGGTCCTGTAAACGCGCATTGGCAATAACAATTTTTTTTGTCTTAAAAAACTCTCGATGATCGACGCAAGAGGCTGATGCTAATAATACAAACTCGTGATTCCAACGATAATGTAATTAAAAGACAGATGACTGTCGCATGATTTAACGCACATTTCAAACTCGTTATTTAATTGAGAAAAACTGCATGATAAACAAATGTCGTTTCATAAGTCCATAGAAAAGTGGATCAACCGGAGGTCAAGTGCCCAAAAATACAGCGCGAGCATGAAGATTTTGTGACGACCGGCACGGTTGTATAATTCGCTACAGAAATGCTAAAGAAATGATGCAGCGATATTTCAGTGCATTAGCCAACAAAAAGGCAGCTGTATTTTAGTTATTACGCACGAGTTCAGTTGAACCATTGCGAAGAGTGTGCAATTACAATTAGAGACACAAACTGGTCCAAGCTATAACTTTGACAATCACGAACGCTTTTATATCAAGGTTCTTGTTTACCTATCCTATTTTCTCATAGGAATGAAAAACGCGAGCAAAAACTTTTGTTACATTGGCTCCCATGGCAATCGATAATTCTCAGAAAATTGGTTCTATACCCCAAATCGTCATGCTATTTCAAGTGATTTTGGTTTAAGTCACGGGAGAAATGTGAAAACACTGAATTGAAACATTGGCAAATTGAAAATGCTGGCAAGACTTCACAGTTCGGCATATTTTTTACCAAATGGTCAAAAACGAATAACTGTCACTTAAGGTTTACGAAACAACATTTTCGAGATTCATATTTCATTCCGAAATGAAAAATTGCAAGTACATTTCGATTTCGTTTGATTCGTGTATTGGGAAGATTTTCCAGTTTATCATTGAGCTTGCCGAAGGCAAAATATTTCGCCGACGATTTCCTGTTTCTTCGGTCGTGTGAGATATTTGAATACACAACAAAACGATTAAAGCCTTCAAATCTATTAGCAACAAACACTCGCGATGAAGTGTTTCGAGATTTAGCGTGTTGGTGAAACATTCTGTGAAGGAGCTTACGCACAGGTTTCACGTCAGCAAACGGTAGACACTATCCAACACATTATGAAGACAACATATGGATAGTTCTACAATCATTTACTGAGCATTCTAATGTTTAATTCCCTAGCTTTTTAAAATCACATTAGAAAGTTTGAGGGATAAAGACAGACGATTCGTCACAAAGCTAGGTTTTGACAGTTTTCAACTGCCAAGATGGCTATTCACCCTGAGCGGTAAAGACAACTTATCATCCAAAGATCAACAAAACTGACATATGATCGAGGACATGATTTGAATATGACAGCTAAAGTCTTAGTTGGTCATACATAAGTACATACAACATGATGAAATGTTCTGTTTCTATTCAATAATTTTGTTATACAAAATGTCACGTACAATGCTTTGCTTGCGTTTGAATTATCAATGTACAAAAAATATTGTGTACATATTGGAAAATACTGTTGTGTACATATTAAAGTTTTGGCAGGAAAGGGTAACAGATGCCAATGAAAACGCATGTCGAATATAGACCAGGAGTGTTCAATGGCGTATAAATACAGATAGCCGCCATATTTATCACATCATATAGGGCATTCGTCGACGGTAAAATCGTCAAAAAACCCACATGTACACAGGGCAGGCAGCACGCGTATAAATAAAGCTTAATTATTCGCATATTCGATTAACGTCAAACGGTTCAATGGACGAGGGCCAAAAATACAATGGCAATACTCTGCATTTAAATCCTCCGACTGACAACGCGCATTATATACGAGTTTCTCGTAAAAAGCTTTACATGTTTTGCGGTTCTTCTTATTTACAAAAGCTGTAACCCTCTGTACGCAGTAAGATTTGCATCCAATCATACGTGGTCTCAAACACATTTACGCAAGTTGAAGAGGCAGGCATGCAAGTTCCGCACGCCATATGTTGTTGATTTGTGAGGTTCGAAATTCGCACGTATATGAGCTTTGATTTGAATCTTTCGCACAGGTCAGCGATTACAAACGTATGTGCACATTACAATATGATAAATAGGCCATATCTCCAAGAAAAATGCGTAAAAGCTGACGCGTAAGGGCAGAAGTTTGATTATCACGAAACTAAACAGCCGGCAGCGATGTCACTCAAAATGTTTATCGGTTTGTACCTGATAGAGCTTGATAATGTGCGGATGATCGAGCATTTTCATAACTTGAATTTCCCGATACACTTTTTGTAAGTTCTCCTTGTCCAGCCTGGTCTTGTCGATAATCTTTACGGCCACCTGAAATCACAAGACTATTTAGTTTCAAAACAACTGACTAACGTTAGCAAACCATCCGACAGAAGCGTATGCTTCTTTCCCTGCAGTTGAGACATACGTGAAAATTTATCGCCAATCCTAAGCGCTTTTGTTACACCAAATTGCATAAAAATATTCAGCAAGCACTATCCAACATAGAACAACCATAGAATGAATCAAAACCTTCGGATGTAGCAATAAACAAACGATAATATGCTGACAAAGGGAACTCGAATCGTCCTACTATCAATACGTATTTGCGAACTGTAAGGCCGCTGTGGGCATATAACTAACCTCACTATTGGTGTAGATATTCTTGGCAAGTTTTACGATAGCAAAATTCCCTTTCCCGATCGTTTTATCGAACTTGTAGTGGCCAAAACGTACGCCGCTGGAATTCCCACCGCTAGACGATTCCGCCATCTTTTTACATCACTACGAGACGAGCGAGAATAATTTCATACGATCGCCGTCTCAGATGTGAGCATGCCATGATCTGCGCATGCTCGCAGCTGCACGTTTGCATCAGAGAGAAAAAACAGATCAGCGATTTCAGCGATATAAATGTAAGACAAAAACACGAAAGAAATACGATGTTCACTTTTCTATACACTTATATTTTTAGGTTGAAGGATTATTTTTCGTGCAGGATAAAACTTTGACTTGCAGCAAAGACTGTCAGAGAGCACTCTCAGCCTGTTATATGCAAAACTTTCTATTATGGCGACCGACTCCATGCTTTTATGTGAGACAAGCAAAAAATAATCTAATTATTGCAACAAAATGCAAGAAACACAAGAAACACTTAAAGCACACACTTTTTCATGTCATTAAACTTAATTCTTTTCTATTCTTTATGTTTGGATGAGGGCGGACAACAAGTCTACTGTCGATACTTTCTAAGACTTTTGTTTAATACCCTAATATCGTAAATATAATTGCAGCAAAGAATCACTTGATAACAGTCTACAGTTAGTTCACAAGAGAAGCAATCAGGGTGAAATGCAGTTGATTTCGCCAAACATACCGAAGCGTGTTTTCTTTCCAAAGGAAACTCAACAAAACTATGTACTACAAAAAGAGTTCCTACTGACGCCACACCACTTTGAAAACCAAACAGAATTTCGGGTACAGACCAGTTGCAGGCAAACGAAGAATTAAAAAGACGACTTACTCGTCATTAAGAAGAACAAAGTATAAGCTCAATACATTCCACCTAAAATTGAAAAATTTCAAAGGAAAGAATGTAATTGCAGAATACTTTAATTTTATGTATGGTGAATCAGACCTCTCGCCGTTAGAACTGCCAATCGAAAGGCAAATGGCATCGAAGTGTAAAAAGTGAGAACCATTTGCCAGCTGCCGCTGACAGCGGTGTATTTTTAATGAATTGCTGCGAACAATTTTTTTGGATTTGTTCGTGCTGAGCATATTCAAATGAATTTGTAAAGTACTACTTTTGAGCGAAGAAAATGTGATCAGTAAATTCTGGTAGATTGTCTGCTAAATTAAATAGGCCTAGAGTGTTAAAGCGTGGGCTGAAAGACTAAGGGCGATCAGGGTGCCACATTAAAAAGCTGCAATTATTTTTCAAGATATATGTTTCTTCCAACTCGTTTGTACATTTCAATGTACAGACTAGCGGCGTTATGTATACATGCTTTTTTATTTGTTCACTGATAACATAGAGTTTGCAACATTTCATACTTTTTGTCTATCAAATTCCGATTGTTGTAAGCGAGCCCAACTGACAAGGAGAGCATTCTTGGCAAAAATAATCTAACAAAAAAATCAACTTAAGTAAATAAACCCATGTTTTTTTGCAAAAGCTATAAAATTATTCTCGCCACATTGAACGTTCTTTTTAGAGACTGTCATTTCTTGTCGTTAACATAAGAGTAATGACGAGTTCCGATTCCAATTTTACAATTCAAAATGTTGCAGCAATTAATTACTACAAGTGAAAATTAATTGCACGTTCTCAAACATGCTTGACGGCTTGACGCGTGGGATCGCGTTGTCCACCTCTATACATCTCGTTGTTACACATACCTGTCACACACACTAACACACCCATTAATTGCGAGCCCCGCAGAGTACTTATTGCACAGCATTGTGAAATCGCTCAACTAAGATTGCTATTTTGTGATCGCAAAAATTGATAAGAATTTCGACAATGCCTTATTAGTGAGAAGCTTAACACTTCATGCGACAACTGTGATATTCTCTTTATTAGATATTCATTTAATACCGCCTACGCGATCTAAAAGAAACAACATTTGGGCAGAATAGGACGCAAGACATGGAAAATTTGCTTGTAATTCCATCGTAAATATGTTTGGGGTCAAGGGATCTTTTCTTGATCTTTTCTGCAAAGTATTCAAGCAAGGGATAATGAAGATCGGACTATGTAATTTTGTATGGGCGAAAATTTCGACCACTTTAACATAATTCTCGCATTGCTGAAATATCAGTCCGCTTAAAAAGACGCTATGAATAAGGCGGGGGGGAGGGGATATTGTCTTTCCGATTATGAAAATGTGCAATATAGTGTATTTTTCTTGCTGAAATAATAGTCGACAAATAAAAGTATCATTATGAAACAAAATTTTTCGTTGTCTTCAATACATCTTCAAGAACTGTGACGGACTCTATACATTAGTGTTTGCATGCTTTGTTTTGGATTTATTGAAGTTTTTGTGATATGTAAATTAGGGAATGCTCGTTTCCCAATTAACATATTCGTTATTTGCATTTATTTTAGCCGAAAACAAACACATTTGCTTTATATTAGTTAGGTGATAAGTTTACATAACGATAAATTGGTTTTGATAATAGCACAAGCATGTTTGTAGCGCAACAACGAAACGAAACATTATTTTAGGTCATGAAATTAGGAAACGACAGAGCATAAATTCTCCAATTTACACATTACTAAGAATGAAGTAGGCATCGCATGATTGATGTTGAAAAAACTCTTTACAGTTTGAGCAGATCTTTATTTAAGACAATTAAAAAAATTCGTGAAGAAATTTGATAAAAGGTTTATTACATGATGAGACAAAATTCACGAAATACGTCAATGTTCTTCACTGACTTTCGTAGCTAGCTATGTCTCTATGCCTATGATGAGTAAATTTAGCAGATCAACTTGATTTTTAGTCTGAAATAAATTGATGTTACAAATTATAAAATATGACAAATATGATATCGACATCCAACGGAAGAACTACAGAATTTTGAAGAAAATTAAGTAGCATGGAGCTCTTTTCAATAAATGACAAAACATAAACACATAATAACTGACAATCTGCTGATCTGCCCTGATTTTACGTTCAACATTAAGTTGGTTGGAAACGTCAATATAGAAAAGGCGACAAAATGTTGTTTTTTAGAAAGTTAATTTTCTTTAGTTGCAATTCTTGCTGGTTTAAAATTTTGCTTTTGCAAAAGTACGATAATAATAGCTACGTTTATGAGCAAATTTATAACATAAAACAGACAGCATTCATGTTGAATAGATGTTCAATGAAAGTCGAACAAATGAAGAAGTTATAGGCTTATTACAATTTGAGGTATATATGTAAAAACAGGAAGTATATAAAAGGGAAAGCGTCGCTAAATTCATCCAACACTCAACTGCTCAATTTTTCAGGGCTCCTTTTACATCAAGCACAAAAATCAGTAACACCTACATTGAAGTCACGCACTCATGTGAATAAACATAAAACGTTCGCCTTTAGCGTAGCCAGCTTGTAACTTTGTTTATGCAATGTAAATTTCAAAACAATATAATGCATTATGCATTTCCTTAGAAGTTTATTGTTTTTAGGGTTCGTGAAGACCGAAATATTTTAGTACCATATGAGTAAAGAAACACGAGCCAGCCACGGTATACCGTTCCCTAATGGTCTATTTTTGTTTGTTTGAGCACCTTTGAATACGAAAGAATTGTCACCTGATTTTTCAAAGAGCAATTGTGCAGCTCTTGCGTTTTCCTTTCAAAAACCTATTTTTTCAGCACTTCCGCATGTCTCAATGACAAAATTAGTATCAACAATTGATTTCTCGTGAGAGTGGTAAAGACAGGGTGATAATTAAATTCAATAAAAATGGATGGGAATAACTATAATTCTTAAAAGTCTATTGTCCGTTGCAGATTTCTGCTTATTTCTTGTACAACTTGTCGATTTCATTTTTATAGCGGCTGCAGTACGTCATATTATAAACTATAACAACCACATTAAACGTTCGCTGATTAGTCTTTACCTGAGTTGCATTAGCATGTGCAAATGTTGGAAACCAATCTGAGTGTGTCACATTCAAATCAATTGAAAAGGATTTGCAAATCATTCATCGATACATATAACTGCAAAAATTAGCATTTAAATTCATCTGTTTAGCATTATTGTTATTTTAAAAAAGAAAGCTGTCAAAAATGTAGAAAACACTCTACCTGCGCTCTTAGGTTTGCACATTTTATTCCCCTGACACATTCCTGATGAAGAAGAATCACCGCCAAATGAAAAGAAAGAAGAAAGACCTGTAGCTATAAAGCATTTAAATCGCAAAAATTAGGAGATTTAGACAAAGCTTATGCAATTGAGGCAAGTTCCGGCGTCAATTTTAACACCAAATGCATCAGTCAAATATATACACAAAATGAACATATTACCGATATTAGTGACTTTTCTCCTTAATGTCCTTATCGCATTCTTTTTCTACACGCATGTGTTGTATTTTACAGTGTCCTCTTTGTTAAAAATGACGTAAAATTTGATAATACAAAACAAGTAACTTATATGCTAAAGAGAACCTGCTACTTCATTATTATGGAAATTTTATAAATTTACGTTCATATTGGCAACAACTAATTTGAGAAGTATATTTGTATAGTCCTGTCTTTGTACGTGGTCGTTAATATAAGGCTAAATTATACGTGGTCACTCGAGCTAGAACGTGCTAAATAAAAGTTTTGTATTTACGGGCTTTTCTAAAACAAGGGCTTTTTGTTAGATCTAGGAACATCAAACCATCTTATTTATTTCTACATCTTTCACTTTCACATGCCCTAAGAATAATACTTTAAACTAATGAATAAACGTATGTGTAAAGTAACATATTGTACCCAATTATAACCGCTGGTCCCGTAACTTTTTAAATATGGCAAAAATTTATGAAACATAATATAAATAAATTTGAAAAACAGTTTTCAATGATGTTTAAGTAATTTATTAAATGACTTATACTCCAATTAAAAAGGGAAAACATTAATTGAAAAGTCGTGCACTTAATGAAGAAAGTGCCCATTTATTTGGTACATACAACGCAGTTAATTTCAATGCCATCAGAGTACGGTGGGCAGGGGAGAGAACCACAAGAACTTTCCACAAGATAGAGTAAGGCACCGTTAACGTCTGGTTTTGATCCTGCTCTAGCTTCAGCATTTTTATCGACGCAGAGAAACTGAGTTCTTCCTATGTGAGAGGAATGCGCTGACATCAAGTATCCTTTGTATTCCAAGCTCCAACCATTGGGACATGTATTACGTGCTGGAATCATTACATAACTACCACGTGATTGAATATGGCAGACTGCGCAAGTAGCATCATAATGAAATAGAGGCTTAGAAGCTAGTCTGGTATGCTGATATTCTGCACCGTAGATATAATTTCCTCCTTGGGATCCTCGCTCAAATTTGTCAAATGACGGATTCATTGGTAAACACAGATAATTGGATGCTCCCCCATTGTGTTTCCACCAAGAACCACCCATCACACCTGTACGTGTAGAATATAAGAGAGTAATATACTAGTTGTGATATTTATTTTATTTTTTGAAATTACGTATATAAGTATTGAACCGAGTGCTTAGCGAGATTTCAAACGTAAATTCAAAGTTTCGATTTTACTATTCTCCTGTATTTCAGTCAGTATACTTTATGACTATTTGATGAAATTAAGAGTTTTTGTTTCTGATAACAAACGAGCAACTACCTGAATATAACTCGACAATGTTTGAAGTGTTTGGACAGTGTTTTCTTCCCCAGCGAGTGTAGACCACTCCTCCTGTTGATCCTCCTGCTTCTCCTTTGTCACCGGGTGCTCCTATTTCTCCCGAATCTCCTTTCTTGCCAGGAGGTCCTTAACAAAATCAAGAAAAATGTTCACCTGAAATTACTTTACATTTTACAAAGCTTATCTTATTTGTATGAAAGTGATGAAATCATTTGTAGCAATCAGTGAATTCTTGTTTGAAAGAAAATTTTTTTCTAATTTTTCTCCTTTATTTAGGCAGAAATGATTTTGTAAATGGATTCATTGCTAAACTTTCCTAAACATTTAATGAAAGAAGTCATTGCTTAAAAATTTTTGCAACAAAGACGTTTAAGCCTGTTGATTCGACTTGATTTTAAAAACTTCAAGACCGACAAAAGTACAAACGTCCAATTTTTGTCACAACCGAACGCAACCTTCTAAACTTTTAAAATACCTTGCAATCCTGCATCTCTTCCATCGCGACCTATATAAATCAGGAAATGCAAGCTCATTTAACAAAAAATTCAATCACGAGGTGTCTTAGAGCCCTCATTATGTATGCAGAAATACTCGTTTTAGCGCCGTACAACTTAAGCACCGCTCTCGGTTAAGCGCCGGATTCAGAATCCAGAAAAGTTATTTAGCGCCGCTCCCAGTTAAGTCCCGTACCTCAGATATAGATATAGTATAATTTTGGTAATAAAAGGATATATTGGTTTTTTGTTACGCAACTATATGACATTATTTTCGTTAAGTTATATTGTATTGTATCAAGTAAATAGATTTTGTCTAATTGTTATTTTATGAGGACAATAAGTACATTTGGTGGAGCCTTTAATTGAAAATTTTTTAATTAGCACCGCTCCCACTTAAGCACCGCATTCAGAATCGGGAAGATTAAATAAGCGCTGCGGTGCAAAATCAACCATTTGCGGTAGTCAAAAAGAACATTGAAATGATTATGCAGTACAGTCATAATGAAAGTTGCACTTTGCAGACTTCTTGTTTTTGTTTATGGCGTGGAGGATTATTGATTCTCATATTCCAGAATAGACCATATGCAATGACGTCAAAAGCCTGAATCACGCTGTGCATTGTGGTCTTAGTAGTCACTCGCTCGAATCCCAAGTAGTTTACGCTCGAATCCAAGATCATTTTGGACATCTCCTTTTCCATCAATTTGTTGAATAGATCAATAATGCAGAGAAATTCCGGGTACAATTGACGGGTATTTTGCAATAAATTTATGTCTGTGTACATGCATTCATCACACAGACCGTGCAAAATTTATAACTTTAGCAGAAGTTCATTGTATAACCGTATTATGCATGATTGTTGAATAAATCAAGAAAATAGAACGGAAGAGTCTGAAATAATTGTGAAGAGTCGTCATCACATTTATTTATCCGCCCTATTTAAGAAGAGAGATTTCTTCCATGCAAGCACGAATTTTTAAGAATTAAAAATTAAAATGAATAGTTAATAAACATATCTTTCTCTCTCTCCCTCCCCCACCTTCATATCATCTTGATCAACCACGAAACAGAAAACAGATGTAGCTAACATAATATCCGAAGAAAACAGATGAGAATTTTTGCGAGATTTTACGATAAGCTCGATTGGTGCTGAATGAGGGTAAACAATATGCTATTGTCCATATATTACAGTACTGCGTCAAATGATTCAAACCTTTTTGAAATACGAGACAGGGCATACGAGACAGAGATTTTTGCGCAAAGTTTATGAGCATGATCATAAAGTTCATAAATTTGGATTCAAAAAGAATTCAAGCTCAAAAGATCCTCCGTCGATAAAATGGGCCAGCTTCAAAGACAAAAATTATAAGAAATAATAAAAGAAGTATTGTGCAAAACAGGCAGATATATTTTTATGTCAAAAAAGAATTTCATACAGACATTTCCAATACCCTCGTGAATGGATAAACTAGTGCAACTTCATGCTTTCATGTATGGCTAAAAACATATTTGTAAATGAAACACATACCATCTCGGCCTGGTATTCCTGGTAAACCTCTGCACGCAGTTGCCGATGTTTCTTTACGATAACTTTTTGCTTGTAAACTACGTAAAAGAGAAAATTCTTTTAAGACAGTTCTTTTCGAAAAAATTGCAATGATTGTAAGCTGACATAGAATCAAATAACATTCCACTTCTCTATTTGTATCATATGACTCATATCTGTCGAAAGTTTTACCCCGTTTTTGTTTGTGCAATGCTTTTTTGCATCAAGCCAGTAGCCAGAACAAGAAAAAATGATAATTTCATTTTTTGAGAGTGCATAAGTACCATTATTCCATTAAGGTTTGTGGCAATGTGTTCTTGTTGACGACGTGAAAGTTTTAACACTCAAAAGTGTTTTTACATGTGGTTTTTACGTCATATGGGTAATAAAACTTCACAATAAATCTTCACATGTCACATTTTTAAAAGGATATGGTAACATAATACATCTGGGCACTTTTTCTGGAATACAACTTTTCTTCTTTAATCAGCAAATCTTTAGAATTTGCATGATTCAGTAAAAAATGATCTCAAAAAGATGCAAACGCATATAAATTTATTTTCCTGCTTGAAATTTTTTTGACAGATCCTGAATAGATTAAAAACTTTTCGTATTAACCAGCTGCATACGACAAATTGAGTGATATTAATAGATTACCGAATGGTTGGTGAGTGCTAACTATTTTCAGGCACGAGTGGAGAAGGATTGAAAACAAACGAGTGAGTACAGCGAACGAGTTTGTTTTTAATCCTTCTAAACGAGTGCATGATAAAAATCGTACAAATGAACCACCCATTTGGTAATGTTTTTATCATACGAGTATTAAAATTTAGATTATAGTGAATTTTTCATCGAAGAGATAGCACAATTTCAAACGCTTCAAAACAATCACCTAAATTGTTTATCGGGAATAACTAGTTTTTTCGCCGTTTCTGTCTTAAAATTATGAAAGCCAATTCCTCTCTTACAAAGGAACTAGGTTCGTTGTTTGCGTAATAAACTTACGTCGACATTTAAGTTGCTTGACGGGAATATTGTCCATACTTGGAAAGTCATGTTTCGACGATGAAAATTACTGAATGTTGGTATCGTTTTCCTTACATTTATATTGAATTCGCTTACGGATAATGTCTTGGCAAATTGCAAAGCTATTGATGATGAAATCAAAAAAGATTGTTTTTGTCTTCTTTAATGCTGTTCACCGTTCGTGGTAAAACTTGATATGCATTTTGTCACTAGTGAAAAAAATATGATATATCCAATCAGAATGCAGGTACGACGTTTTCACTAGTAAAGAAAATAATACATGCAATCAGGCCCTCGGAAATTTTAGGCATATGATTTTTATTTCACCGTTTTGTAGTGCATAAATTTCAATACTCGTATGATAATACCATATTTGATAAAGGTTTTACCCAACCAAAATTTGGCATCAAATTGAAAGTACTCAATATTTCTTCAAGACAAGAAGACAATGTTTGTACAAAAGTTTTATTGTCTTTTCACGTCGTTTCGTGTTTAACCTCGAAAGTCGAAACTTCTGGTCAAGTTAAAATTCATCATGCTCAATGTCACCGTCACCCTACCAACACTACAATAAAGCTGAAATTCTGGATAAATGATAAATAACAGTTTCTTCATTATCATCCCTCTTAAGATGTCTTTGATTAGAGATGACACATAAGTAATTCAATGATTTTATCAAACATATAATCTCGGATTCTTCAATGTGTTCTTATCTCCTTTTTCGCTTTCTATTTATGTATTGATTTATAAGTGTCATTAGTAGCTGTCAGAGCTACTTTCAAAATCAGAGGCATTAAGTAGCGGCTGCTTTCAGGAAGGGCACTTGGTTTTGCAGGGCGCCTTATTTTACACTAGTATTTATTTTCAGCATCGGCCAACTTTTGGCAAACAAGGCAGTTAGGTGAGGTTTCGGTTCGATTTAGCTTTGGAGCTGAAATAATGCTTAGAACTTAAGATCAATGATTTTGCCTTAAGGCATTACTTAGCACAGGCATCTTTTTGTTATCACGAATTAACTAAAACACAGTTCAGTTAAAGCAAAAACAAAAAAATTAAGAATTACTTAAAAAATTAATGTGAAGATACTCCTTAATTTTTGCATAGTATTTAAATCTTAATAAAAATTCTATCAGATGAATCACAAAACCGTTGTTTATAGACAATTTATAATGTTCTACTCTAACAAAACTTTCATCTTTACTTGGTGTATCTCTCTGCAAGGCTACATGTTTTAGTTATTATTGAGTATGCTGGCTTCACTTGGTAAGCGAAGGATGAAATTTTCAGAAAAACACGTAGTTCTGGTGTTGCTTTGATGCACATACTTTAAAGGCATTTTTCGTACATTAGATCTTCAACATAAATTAGATAATGTATTCGGAAAATATCTAAATTTCTCAAATTCTGTGTTATAAGCAAAATAACTTACAGTAGTTCATAGCGGTTTCTTGAATTATATTCTATTAAAATTTATAACCAACTGGCATTACAAGGTATTTTGAATGTAAAATTAGTGGCAATTCATTTTGCCTTACCTTGAATTTACGGTACCACTGTTTTTAAAAAGAATAACTAGCTGAAAAAGTGAGATCACTGAAGAGCCGTAAAAGTCGTGTAGATAATAACACAATCCAGTGGCAGATTTAGAGTACGTCAAAATAAATTATTGCAGTACGTACATTTTGGCGTTTATTTACATTTCTAAACAGCTTAGACGCAAATCAATTGGTAAATTTATATTCTTTAGAAATTGAAAGCCAATAGTATTTTCTGAATGTAATTTGACTTTAAAATTGAAGAGCTGTGATTTATTTTGACATACACTGGATCCGCTACTTACAAAATCTTCTACATCCGTGTTTATAACAAAAAAAATTTACATGTTTGTGGATGTAGATCGTCCAGGTTAGTAGAGTCATGAGAAGGACTGTTGTTGTAGATGTTGACTGACGTGCTGACAACCTTAGCGGTTGTCATCTTCGGAGTCATGTGAGGAGTAAACGTCAGGTTAGTCGTATTTGCTGTCTTGTTCATACGTCATCGTATTGTGTGTATGTGTGCCTGTGTGGGGGTAAATTGTGTATTGTCAAATTTGTCATAGTGTTTACTCTAAAGTAATATACTTCATCGTTCGTTTGTTTAAAATAGTGAATAACTCATTTGTAAGGTTCCAGTAATTGTTATGATTTGTTAAGTGGGTTGTGTTCCAAAAATAACTTATTTATTGCAACCTATATTTCGTAAATGTAAATGTTATTGGCAATAATTACACTTTTATTTCTCATGTTATGCTATATTTTATAGATATATAAAATAGATAGTTGATAGAGATATATAGATAGTTGGCTTTGCCTCTCGTAAATATTTACGGAATTTAGCTGCTTCACTCATTGTGAATTACGATGAAATTTTAAATCAAAGTCTTTCTTTCATTTAGTACATACAACGCAGTTAAGTTCGACACCATCAGTGTATGGTGGACAGGGAAGAGAGCCACAGACATTCTCGACAAGATAGAGTAGCGCACTGTTTGACTCCAATAAAGCTTCAGAATTTTTGTCGACGCAGAGATACCGAGTTCTTTCTAGGTGACCATGATCCCTTACATCAAGTAACCACTGTATTCCAAGCTCCAACCATTCGGATATGTATTACGTGCTGGAATCATTACGTAACTACCACGTGACTCAAAATGACAAACTGAGCAAGTAGCATCATAATGTCAAGGCGTTTTAGTAGTTATTATAGTATGCTTATATTCTGTACCGTACATATAATTTAAAATCAGTTAAAGCCTTAAAGCAAAAAGCCAATCAAAATTTGCATGAGAAGGAGTTTGGAGGCTTTTTGTAAAAGCTCGAACAGAAAGTTTCAGACAAAACAAGAAAACCTAAACAAGACCTTGACTTTATGGTGCTGTCAAAGTCGTGAACGGCTTTTGTTATATATATATATATAATAAAATGTCTGCTGCTTCCTGAATAAATGGAAACATATTAGTCGCTATAAATATAAACACAGTTTTTCAATGTGGCAAAGTTTTACACTGTGTTTTCCACTATGTATATCTGCTTTTATTATCTCTTAACTTAAGCAAGATTCCAAAAGCGATCATTCGATCAATAAATTGGAGCATTGTAAAATATATCGATGATTTCGAGCTATCAAATGTTTTGGACATTTTTAAATATTAAAAGAACTTCATTTGGTTGACAATGGAGCATATGGTGAAAAAAGCAGCGAATTAATAAATTTGTTTATGTATTTTGCTGTTTTCTTATATGCCGAAGTCTGATGGATGCACCTTAGTGGGAGTAAACGCAGATTTCACGAAAATTTGTTTTGCTTTGATGTAATTTTTATACCTAAATCTAACTCAACAATGCTTGAAATGTTTGGACAGTGTTTTCTTCCCCAGCGACTGTCGAACACCCCTCCTGCTGATCCTCATGCTTCTCTTTTTTCACCGGGTGCTCCTCCTTGTCCTGAATCTTCTTGCTCACCAGGAGGTCCTTTTTAAAGTGAAGAAATCTCCTCATCAATTTTGTTGCTACATATTCAGGTGATTTAGCAATGCCACGGCGCAAAACTGCGTATCTTTGAAGTTAGCTGACATTTATAGCTTGAATTTGCGCATGATTCAAAATAATGTAATGGAATTGGAAGCGTATAAACGCAATTGAAATGTAAAGTTTAAAGCAGCCATAATTTGTATGTATAGTTTCGAAGATTACCTGTTTCTTTGATTGAATACTGTAATTTTACGAAATTTTTGGGCATTGAAAGTATAATCAATTGCAGTGGCGGAGCCAGCTTGATTATTCGGGTTGGGGTGGGATAGGGTGAGGGAGGCGGCGGTATTTATATTTGCATGACATGCCTTATTAACTTCATTTGAAATCTGGATCATAAATATTGTGATGTAAAGATTACGTCAGACTAAGCATTTAGCTTTGTTATGCAGACTCATAATAATTACATCACATCATTACATTCTATTTTTAGCTATATTAATTACGTTACATATTGTAAATAGCAGTTACAGTATATTTATAATAAAGAGATTTACGTCATACTTTGCAATAAGCTTCCAGACAGTATATACAAGCCACGGACAGCTAGAGTAGTGTTAGTTGTCGAAAGAATTGATATTGAGACAGAGATTAGGATACTGAAATACCGAACGTTCAAGATATTTGGCTCTTTGTTGCCGGACTTGTCGTCGTGAGGATTTGAGGACAGAGAAGTGTTGAAGACACTGTCTGAGAAGCAAAGGCTATTCGTTGTTTTCATTGACAGATTAGTAAATCCTATC